ATGGGGTCAGAACGAGAAACAAAGGTCGAATTTTTGGCCCTTTCAGAGAAAGGTGTCATCTCTTGCTGTCTTTTGTTCAGATAAATGTTTTGCTCCTAAAATTGATAAAGCAGTATCGGTTAAGTCATTTCGGTTATCTCTAATAATGGGCTGGTCTAACTCTTTTTTAGGTAGTTGATTAGTAAAATAAAAACCAAACTGAGCATAAATTTTAGCATACTCTCCGTTCTTTCCGTTCAGGGATGATAAATCTAAATGGGGTTCTTTTGTGAAGAGGTTTTTTGTCTTGCTCTCTTTTTCATTTTTTTCATCTCTTTAAAAATTCTTCGGTTAATTCTGGTAATCGGTCTTTGCTTAACGGGTGGACTACTCCTTGACCTTGACCTCGTGGTTTTCCAACTCTTTCTTTATTGTAGTTAGTTGATTTAGAGCAATAGTAAAGATTAGAGCCATTAATGGCTTCTTGTCCTTTAATTCTTCGGTGTTGGATTTGTCAACCTCCTGATGGTGAGGGGATTAATGGTAAACCTAAATAATCGGATAATTTTTCAAATTTCTGTAAGGCTTCCATTCTTCATGGTTGCCTTAATTGTTGCTCCTCATTTTTGGCTACATCGATTTCAGGAGTGTAATAATTGTCGGTTTTTAAAAAGGCTCGACCACATTTAATTAATCAGTAAGATAAATCTCCTTTTTGATAGTGAGGATTTTTATAAGTGTGGTGGGGGATTTTAGGATTGCCTTGGCAAGGACTAGATAGTCAGTACTGACCGGGGTATTGCTTATGGATGTCTGCTAATCAGCCTGGTAATAAAATAAATTGAAAGGCTGTTTTAAAAAGTAAAGGTCTTTTTAGTAAAAATTCTGAAAGTTGAGATTGATAATGGAAAAATGAATACTTAAAAAGGTAAAAATTGTTCTTATTAGAATAATCAACACTAATTTCCTTAGTTTTTTAGTTTGATAACCATTTATATTAGAGGGGTTATTTTCCTTGTCAAATTGTCAAGAGTTATTAAAGGAACCATTATTATTTTTATTCCTCCCCAAATGGACAATTAGGTCGGGAATAAATAGTGATTTTGGTTAGAGGTTAGTTTATTTCTCCTGTTTGGTGTTTGGAAGGTGGGGAATAAATACGAAAGGGGGGTGAATAAATGTTTTAAACAAAGGTAATCAAAGAAAGAATACAGTACAAAAACTTAATTTAGTAAAATAACATATATGGAAAATTTACTTACAAGAGGAGAAACCATAACTTTCAAAATAGTAGGTTTGACAATAGCATTTTTAGCGGCTTTTGTTCCAATACTTCTCTTTTTTTGAAGTAGAAAAGAAACTAAAAAAATAGAAAAGAGACTTGAAAAAGAGATAATAGCGAGAAAAGATTTAGAGAAGAAAGTAGTAGAAAAAAGTGCGAAAGAATGAGAAACTCTTTATCGCCGAGAAAAGGAAAACAGCGAGGGATGACGTAAGGCTTACGAAGAAACATGAAATAATTATTGCAAATCATTAGAAGAATCAGGAAAAATAAAAGGTGAACTAGAACAAGAAGGTTCAAATCTTAGGTTCCAGTTAGCAAATCAATAATGCCAAACACTCTCCAAATCCTAACCAACCTCCTCAAAAATGACCCGCGCTTAGTAGTAGATGGTAGTCTTGCCAAAAACAAAATTATTGAACTGGCTCTCCAATTAGATGCCGGAATTTTAAAACTACTTAAATCTTCTCCGGAATTACGGAAAATATTTTTTGTAGAAGTAGAGGATATTCTAGTTTTTGACAAAATAAAGTTCCAAAACTTTATCTCTAATAAACAATTTCTCCCCGATAGTTTTACCCAGTATAAAAATAAAATCGGATTAGTGGCAGACCGGCAATATCTGGCTAATAGTAGTGAAGTAGTTTTAGCCTGACCCTATAAAGATTGTATTTTAGAGGGCGGACAGACCCAAGAGGATGCCAAAAGACACGAAATTTTTTGAAATGAAATCCTAGCTCCAGATGAAATTGACCGCTTGCTAACTCCCAAAGTTTTAACTAATTTTCAAAAATATGAAGCGGGAAAAGAAGTGCCAATGAACAATATTTCCCTGAATGACAACCTAATTATCAAAGGCAATAATCTGCTTTCTCTTTATTCGCTAAAAGAAAGATATCAGGGCAAAATTAAGTTAATTTACATTGACCCGCCTTATAATCCGGATAGTAAATCGAATACTTTTTGCTATAATAACACTTTTAATGAGTCAACTTGGTTAACTTTCATGAAAAACCGCCTGGAAGAGGCGAAAAAATTATTGACAAATGACGGCTGCTTAATTGTGGCGATTGACGAAAACGAACAAGCGGAATTGACTGTTTTATTGAAAGAGATTTTTAAAAACCACGAAATTCATGTCATAGTTATCGTTCACAATCCCCAAGGTATTCAAGGAACCAATTTTTCTTATACCCATGAATACGCTATTTTTGTTATCCCGCGAGGCAAAAAATCAATCGGTCAAAAGAAAGTTAATTTAGACAAACCAGATTGAAGGAACCTTCGCCACGACCACGGCGAAACTACTTTAAGAACTGATGCTAAAAATTGTTTTTATCCCATTATTGTCGAAAATAACCAAGTAGTTGGCTTTGGAGAAGTAGAGAGCGACGATTATCACCCAGAAAAACAGACTATTGAAAAAGACGATCGCTTCTACGTTTATCCAATTGACAAACAAGGAATTGAAAGAAAATGACGTTATGCTCGTCAAAGCATAGAAAAAATGAAAAATCTTTTGCGAGTAAGAAAAAGCAAAATCAGCACTTATGAAATTGATATGAATAAGACCTTTGGAACTTACAGAACAGTTTGGTTTGACAGCAGATATGAATCCAGGCAACACGGAACTAACCTTTTAAAAAGTTTACTATTAAGCGATAATAAGAACATAGAGAGAGAGAGAGAGAGAGAGACGAAAATCGAATTCACCTTTCCTAAATCCCTCTGAAATGTCTATGATTGCCTTTATGCAGTAGTTGGTAATGATAAAAATGCTATTATTTTAGATTTTTTTGGCGGCAGCGGCACCACGGCTCATGCGGTATTAGAACTTAACAAGCAAGATGGAGGAAACCGGAAATTTATCATTTGCGAGCAAATGGATTATATTGAAACCGTAACCAAAGAAAGAATTAGAAAAGTTTGTGAGAACGACCAAAAAGGCTCTTTTATTTATTGTGAATTAGCCAAGTTTAATCAAGACTTTATCGACCAAATTCAGAATGCTAAAAATACCGCGGAATTGTGGAAAATTTGAGAACAAATGAAAAAAATGGCTTTTTTGAGTTATCAGTTAGAACCGAAAAATATTGATAATACTAAATCTGATTTTTCCGAACTATCGTTTGAAGACCAACAAAAATTTTTGATTTCTCTACTGGATAAAAATCTTTTGTATATTCCTTATTGTGATATGGAAGATAAAAGTTATAAGATTTCTGAGGAAGCTAAGAGGTTAAATTGTCAATTTTATCACAAATAGCCCTAAAAATTTTAGCATTAGAAGTTTTATTTATCTTTTTTCGACTTCTTATTTTGTCGTTTATATTTTCAATTAAATACTGATATATACAAAATCCAAAGAAAAAAAATGGAGACTGCCACAAAAATAATGAACTCAAACCGATAATTATTAAATAATTCCTTAATAGTTTTTCAATGAGACATGCGAAGCCACAAAACTGACAAAATGATTGAGGAGAAAAATAATATTTGCTTATTTGTTCTTAAACGCTTTTCTCTCTCTTTCCGTTTTTTATAGCACTCATTACATATAATAATTTTTTCGGTTTCGCTGGTGCTAAAAATGTATTCAACCAAACTGATATTTTTATCAAGTTCATGTTTTTCACTACTATAAAGAGATGAATTACACTCATGACACTTACCAATAGGAAAAAATTTTAATTTTTCAAATAACTTAGAATTAGAATAACAACGCCAGCAAATTATTGTCCCTTTAATTTGGGTAAGTTTTTCATGGTTTTCATCTTTAAAACATTCACTACAATGAAGCATAATTTTTATCTTTCTATTTTCCAACTAATTAATTTTTTCTAACTCATAAATAAAATTTTGTTTTCCCTTTTCTCAGTTTTCGCCAACAAAGACCGCTCGTGGATATTTGGCTTGGATATCGCTGTTTAACTTATCTAAAATTCTTTCTCACTCATCTTTTCTGTTATGCTTAAAAAACCTCAATTCAACGCTAGGATGCTCGACAAATTTTTTATTAGTATCAACAGATTTAATAAGAGTAAAATCTCTTTCTTCACTTATTTGATTTTGTCAGATGGTTTTTTCTTCCATTTTCTTCTTCAATCCTTCAATTTTGATTTCTTTTTTTCTGATTTCCTGCGGAATAGTTTTTAACCGATTATTTAGTTCTATCTCTTTCTTTTGTTCCTCATTTGGCTCAGGATAACCTCTTTTCGCCTCATTAAAACTCATTCTATCAACAAAACTCATACTATCAAAACTTCTTTCTCTGGATTTTATTCTGTCAAGAGTTCTTAAATAACAGCCTCAGCATTCACTAAAATGTTTTCTTTCGTGACAAGAACCACATGCTATAAAACTGGAACCGCTTAAATATTTTTCTTTCAATTTGTTTAACTCTGATAACTCTCTTTCCATTTTTTTGTAGTCTTCTTTTTCTTTCTCAACTCATTCGTTTGATTTTTCAATATTTTTTTCTTCAATTCTGTATATAACATTGTTAAGTAGAATATGATTGATCATATATTATTTTTAATTTTTACTGTTTTTTTTAAAATAGACATACACCTCTCTCTCCTAAAATTACTATATTATGAAACTTATTTATATTAAATCTATAATTACTCCCAAAGATTATAGTGTAGTGCGGGAAATACTAAAAAAAGAAAGAGGGGAAAAATTGGCTCCTTTTATTTATAAATTAAGCAAATTAGATGGTTTGGAAAAATATTTAAGCAAAGAGAATATTAATTATGAAGTTTATCAATCAGTAAAGACTAATAACCAAAAAGAAAATATTTTTGCTAGTTATGGGGAAGCAATTAGAGATAAAGAACGAGAAAAAGAAGCCCAAGAACTAGAAAACGCCGAGGAGGAAGACATAATTAACGAAGAATGGTAAAAGAGAAATTTCCGCCGGCTCAGCAGTGGGAAGTCTACAAGTTTAGAACTAACCTCAAGGAGACCGAGGGAACAGAAATAATGAAAAGTCGACCGGGAGTAATTATCTCGACTAATGAACTAAATAAGTGAGGCAAAAGATACATTTTCCTACCAATTACTAGTAAAAAGTTTGATAAAATTTATCCGTTTGAGATTTTAATTAACTTTCAAGGCAAAAGAGGAAAAGCATTGCCCGACCAAATTAAAACTTACAGCCACAGTCGAATTATTAAAAAATTAGGGACATTAGACCCCAAATATTATTCCGAAATAGAAAAGAAAGTTAAAGAAGTGTTTGGTTGAGAGTAAAAATAAAAGTATGCTATGTAGTAAATGTTACAAAAATATTTCGCAAGGTTCAGAAGTGCAAATTAGCGGAACAATATTTTGTAAAGAATGTGCTGAAAGTAGTGTAAGGGAAAGAAACATAGTTGCTAAGTGCAATTTCTGCCAAGGCTCCGTCTTTAATAATGAACTAATACATGAAGTTTATGAAAATTGAGGCACTCAGGCTTCTGAAAAATTAACTGTATGCCAGTCATGTTATAAAACGTGATTAAAGATAGCTTATTCAAAGAAAAAAATATGAGAAATGATGAATTGATTTAGTAATTTTTCTAACTTTACCATGTGATTTGTGCTTGCTATGATAATAATTGATAAAAATAAAGAGCATGCAGGGAAGGTCCATGTCTTGATAATAATTGTGTTATCTATTTCTATTTTTCTATTAAGTCCTTTTTCTTTTCTGCTTATTGAAAAATTCGCCAAATGAAAATACAATAAAGAGTTGAAAAATAGAAAGAGAAAAGGAGAAATTAAGTGCTAAAATAGCAAATATTATGAAAATGTAATATAAAATTATAATATGAAAAGAAATATAAGTATTAGCGTAGAACAAAAAACCTACGACAAAATAAACAAAATAGTTCCAAAAGGCCAGTTAGCGCCGTTGGTTGATGAATTGCTTCGAGACTACGCTGTTAACCAAGAGAAAGGGTTATTGAAATGGCATTACAAGGATTTTGCTAAGAATAACAAAGTGAAAAAAGAGTTAGAAACTTGGGATGAAGCGGTAGGTGATGGAATATATAAAACAAAAAAAAATATCAATGCTGGTTTCCAGTGTGATTGCCATGGTCGGAGGAGAGTAGATAAGATTAGTCAGCGAGAATTCTTAAAAACAGGGTCTGTTAAAGAAATAAATTGCAGCATTAATTTTTTAAAATGGGCTATTGATAATAGAAAAAAGAATCATCAAGTCAAGAAAAAGAGTGAAAATTCATCAAAGAGTCAACTTAAATGGTGAGAAAGAACAATAGTAAAGTTAGAAAATAAAAAAATGCACTTTAATGCTTAGACTACTTTTTTTTAATCTTAACTAATGAGTAAAAAAGTGATTTGTCCTCGTGGTTTTCCGCACCAGGGAGAAATTTATAAAGTTTATTTCTCTAAAAAAGGCAAAGAGATTGGAAAAATCCGTCCAGCATTGGTAATAAGCAATAATGTCCAAAATGAATTTGACGACCAAATAATTGTGGCTCCTTTAACTTCCGAAGAGGAGGAAGTGTCTAAAGAGCGGCCTTTTACAGTTTTAATTAAAAGTAAAGATAATAGTCTAGAAAAGACTAGTAAAATTTTGCTAAATAGGGTTCAGACTGTTGATATTGAAAAGCGTTTGAGAGATTATATTGGCCGAACTGCCCCCGAAATAGTGAAAAAAGCCCAAGAAGCCTTAAAAATAGTTTTTGATTGAGAATAAAAAACCATGAACGAAAATAATAAATCTTTACAGCAAAAATTAATTGAATATTTTGGAACCCAGAGAATAGAAAATACTCCTCTCCCTTCGATAATAACCGATAACCTTAATCCAAAATTTAAACTTCGGCCTTATCAGGAAAAAGCGTTTAAATATTTTCTTAACTATTGAGAGAATGAAAAATTTGCTAGTAATTCCACCAAACGCCAACTCCTATTTCTGATGGCTACCGGCAGTGGCAAAACTCTAATGATGGCCGGACTTATTTTATATTTATATGAGAAAGGCTATCGGAATTTTCTCTTTTTTGTAAATAGCACCAACATTATTGATAAGACCAAAGATAATTTTTTGAATGACTCCTCAATTAAGTATCTTTTTAATCAATCTATTTCTTGGGCTGATAAAAAAGTCACCCTTCAAGAAGTAGACAATTTTCAAACTACTGATAACGATAACATTAATGTTTGTTTTGAAACTATTCAAGGACTCCATAGTCGATTAACTACTCCCCGAGAAAACAGTTTAACTTACGAGGACTTTCAAGATAAAAAAATCGTTCTCATTTCGGATGAGGCCCATCACATCAACGTGGAAACTAAATTAGGAGCACAACTTTCAAAAGAGGAAAGAGAAGGAATAAGTTCCTGAGAAAATACAGTTAACAAAATATTTGCGGCTAACTCTGAAAATGTTCTTTTAGAATTCACTGCTACCATAGACCGCAACAATCCTTACATTTTGAATAAATATGCTCCTAGACTTATTTTCGACTATCCTTTAAAACAGTTTCGTATCGAGGGCTATTCCAAAGAAGTAAAAGTATTACAAACTGATGCCGAACCCTTTGACCGGGCTTTACAAGCCGTATTGCTTAGCCAATATCGCCGCAAAATATTTGAAAAAAATAGAAAAACAGTAAAACCGGTAATTTTATTTAAATCTAAAACTATTAACGAGAGCAAAGATTTTCAAGATAAATTTATCAGAGGTATGGAAACTCTCACCAGTGCTAAACTTAGTGAAATTGAAGCAAATATCAAAGACGAATTTATGACAAAGATATTTAGATATCTTGCTAATAATAATATTTCCCTGGATAATTTCGTTATTGAACTTAAAGAAGACTTTTCGGCTGAAAAAACTCTCTCGGTAAATAGTAAAGAAGAAAGTGAAGAAAAACAGTTAGCCGTCAATACTTTGGAAGACCCTTTTAACGAGTATCGGGCTATTTTTGCAGTCGATAAACTTAATGAAGGGTGGGATGTTCTTAATCTTTTTGATATCGTTCGCTTGTATGACACGAGAGATGCCAAAAGCAATATACCAGGACCAACCACCATCAAAGAAGCCCAATTAATCGGACGGGGAGCGAGGTATTGTCCCTTCAAAATTAATGAAAGTGATGATCCTTCTCAGCGGAAATTTGACCATGATATTCAAAATGAGATGCGGATTTGTGAAGAGTTATACTATCACAGCAATTATAATCCCAGATACATTCAAGAATTAAATTCGGCACTGGTAAAAACCGGAATTATTCCTGACAACACAATTAGAAGAAAACTTATTATTAAGAATGAATTTAAAAATACTGAATTCTTTAATTCTGGTCTTTTATTTCTCAATCGGCAAGAAAAGCATCCCCGCGATGACGTTTTTGAACTACCGTCTTCAATAAGAGATTTTCCTTATAAGGCATCCCTTCGAACCAATGTTAACCTTTCCCGAGGGCTTTTTGAAAGTCAATTTAAAGAAAGCATTGAAACCCAAGAAAAAGATTTTTGGATAAAAAATTTAAGGCCGCAAACTGTAAAAAAAGTTATTTATAAATTCGATTTTTACTCCTTTTCTAACCTAAAAAAATGGTTTCCTAACCTTAATGAATTGGATGAGTTTATTATAAAAGATGAATATTTAGGAGGAGTTAAAATAACTGTTTCCGGTCTTGTTTCTCAACTTGAAAAATTAAGCCCCGACAATGAGTTTGACATTTTGGTAAAAGTTGTCGGGCAAATTGCTTCTAGTTTAACTTCTGGTAATCCTGATTTTAAAGGAAGTAAAGAATTTAAATACATTCTATTAAAGGAAATAATTGGCGACAAGGAACTTAATTTTGCTCCCAATGAAAGTTGAGATAAAGAATTAGGAAAGTCAATGAGCAACGTCCAGGAGACCAAAATTCCTTTGGACCTTAGCAGCCGGTCCTGACACGTTTTTAATGATTGTTTTGGTACTTCCGAAGAAAAGTATTTTGTTAAATACATAGACAAAGTTTATAATAAACTTAAAGAAAAATATGATGAAATTTATCTAATCCGTAATGAGAGGTTTTTTAGACTTTATGAATTTGATGATGGAAGACCTTTGGAACCGGATTACGTGTTGTTCCTACAACAAAAAAAAGAGTCTATGAGCCTACATTACCAAATTTTTATTGAACCGAAGGGAGGCTATCTTAAAGACAAAGATGCTTGGAAGCAAAATTTTCTCCTTTCTCTTAAAAAAGAGTGTAAAATAGAACAATTATGGGAGGACAAAAAGTATCGGGTTTGAGGTCTACCTTTTTATAACAAGGCAGAGGAGACTGATTTTGACAAAATTTTTAATAAGGAATTATTATAATTTTTATGACCAAAAGAATGTATACTAAAATATTATTATTATGGTAAACGCTCAACAAGAGTGGTTAGAAAACTATCCAGATAAGAATTTAATTAAAAATTATTAATCAAATGCCGCAAACTAAATATCCCACTACTACCAACGTTCCCAATCTTTCCTCTATCTCTCTTGAGATAATTCAAAGTTGAGTTAACTATGGATTTACTTATTCCCAGATTCAAGATTGGCTCTCTGCTGGACTTGAACCTCATGAATCCTCTTTTGCAGCCTGATTAAGATATACTAAGAAACTAACTCCAGAAAAAGTAATCAATCATGGAGACTACCAACAGTTAAGACAAGAGTTTCAAAAATGACAGTATCAGTCCCAAGTTGAACAGCGTTTTAAGTAGGGATTTATTTACGATTTTTTTTAACTTTTAGGAGGAATTTCTACTTGATTTTGCAAGTTGCTTAATTTTTTAGTTAGATTTTCAACCTCTTTTTTCTTAGTTTGTAAAGTTTCATTTACAAATTTGGTGTAACTTGAACGGTTATTTTGCAAATCTTCTTGTAAAGTTTTTAATTCATTTTGCTGAGAAGCAATCTGTTGTTGAAGAGTTTCATTTTCAGTTCTCTCTTGATTAATATCTTTTTTTCATTTAAGTCTTTGCTTAACGTGTTCTTTTGACTGATCATTACTTAAATTTTCTAATTCTTGATAACGTTGCTCTCATTCTTCACTTTTCTGAAATAGTTCAGCGTTTTCCTTGACTAGTTGGTTTATTTTTTCTTTTAACTCTTTTTCTATTTTGCCCTTTTTACTTAATAAATCTTTCACTTCTTCTTTGTCTTTTTCACTCTCGTTAATTAATTCTGAAATTTCCTTATCTTTTTGCTCAATTATACTGCTGCTATTTATCAATTTCCCATTAAGTTCCTGATTTTCTGCACGCAATTTTTCAATCTCTTTCTGTTTTTCAACTAAGTCTTCATTAAGCATATCACGTTTTCATTCAGCCTCTTTCTTATCTTTTTCTCTTTGCAGTTCGACCTTCAACTGTTTAATTTCCTCTTGAATAATTTCTAACTTTTCTTTCTGCTTAGCATTTTTATTTTTTTTACGGTTATTACTAGAGTTAACCTTTTTGGTTTCTACTTTTTGCTCCTGACGAAACTTTTTGTATCTTTCCCGGTCAAAACCAATTGAGAGACTACTCTCTCCACAAATAGAATAAATTTCCTTTACCTTTGCTTCAACTCTTACTCCAATCGGACAATTAAGTCTTTGCAAATTCTCCGATAAATATTCCAATCCGCTATCAATATCCGTTCCTTTAATTCCTAAACTTCATAAATTGTTCATCCCTTTTAAAGGTTCTAAACTACCATAAAAGCGATTATAAATTCCTTTTTTTACTTTCTTCTCGTTGGAGTTGTTTCCTAAATCAAGTACTTCTAAATTCTTGTAAGGTATTAAAAAAGATAAGTCTTGCGAAGGAAAGTTATTGTCATTTATCTCTAGGAAAGATAATTTTTCAGAATTAGTGGGTAACTCTATTAGTTCCAAAAGATTATTGGAGACCTTAACTTTCATAAGTTCATTACATTCGCTTAAATTTAGGCCAATAAGCGAATCATTATTTTGACAATCAAGACCAACCAACTGAGGACAATTGATAATTTTCAATCTAGTTAAAGATTTAATATTATTAACATTCAATTTTCTTAGATTAGGAAAATTATCAATGGTTAATTCACTAGCAGAAATTTTTCCTTCATTCAAATCTGAAAATTGTATTTCCTCTTCTTTTTTTTCAGAATATTTTTTATCAAATAATTGTTGAATAGTTGCCATATTATAACTTTTTAATTTTTCTTTGGTGGAAAATACTGTTGTTGCTGGATTGCGGACTGTAATTCTTCATTATTTTCAGCACCTCACCGATAATTACCAGTTTCAACTGCCCAAACAGGAGGTAAATGGAGTTGGGAGGAAGAGTTCACTAACTGTGCTACTTCAGTACTCCTAATAGTACAATCATTTTTAATAGGATCATGTCATATTAGCCAATTTAAATCAATCCTAATTATATCTCCTACTTTCCAGTTTTTAAATGGCTCTTGGTTGGAACATCAAATTTGGTTACTAATCCCATTAGCAAAATGAAATCCAATATCCAATTCAAAGTATATATATTCCGGATTTTGATTTCAATATTTTCTTTCGATGATTTTAAATATTGCTCAATTCTTTACCATATATTATTTTTAGTGAAAAGTTTCTTTTCAAAAAAAAATTGATACCGCATCGAAAAATTATAAAGGGATAATAAAGAATGACAAATTTAGTACTTGTTGTCTAGTTCAAACTCTATCCCAATTTTAAATCTCCCCAAACATTTTTTTGCTACTAATAGCAGAATCATTTCATTAAATTAACAATATACTATTAACATGCAAGAATTAAATAGAACTGAAAAAGAAAATGAAGAGCAAATAAGCAAATCAATTAATCAAATGATTAAGGATTATAGGCTAGACTTCCCCTGTCCCCACTGCGATAAAAGGATCAATGATGAGCATTTTGACCAAGGGACTCGTGTATTCAGTTACATCAACGAACACATAAGAGAGATGGTCGAGAAACATTTTAATTTTCAAGAAAATGATTATCGGCAAAAGTGGTTAAAGGAGATGGAAGAAAATCGAACCTATGAAAATTTTCAACCAGTTAAAAAATTAAAAGAGGGCGTTAGCGAACTGCAGCAAAAAGTTTCTCAACTCCAATCCTCTGAGTACATTGAGAAGTTAGACCGCGTGCGTCAACTAAATGAATCAATTAAACAGCAGAGAGAGAAGATAGCCGAATTACAATCTTCGGAATATATTGAAAAACTGGAAAGGGTTCGCAAATTAACCGAAGAAGTTAACGAATTGCGCAGCCAAAATCAATTGTTAAGGGACCAAAGCCGGATTAATAGTAAAAAAAAGGGAGAATTATTTGAGCAATATATTTCAGAAGAATTAAATCGAGTTTTTGACAGTAAAGATAAAATAAGCAAAATAACCCAAACCGGCCGTAAAGCTGACTTCCTTCAAGAAGTATTGACCGAAAGCAATAAAATCGCTGGTCGCATAATTTACGAAGCCAAAGATACCGAAAAATGAGATAACGAATGAGTAAACAAACTGGAAAACGACATGGCTCACTTAAAAGCCGATTTTGGAATAATTATCGCTACCTGCGAGAACGGCAAGCCCTTACGTTGCCTAGACCCTCGGAAAAAGATTTATGTTAGCGATGACACTAATTTCATTTATATTGCTAAAATAATGAGGGACAGTTTAATTCAAAAACACAATTTGTTGGAAACAGTTAATGCAGACAGTAAAGAAAAAAGGATTAAAAGTTTTGAGGAATGAATTGGAAGTCGTCTTCCGCAATTTTTGGCTCGCTTAGAAAAGGAACTAAATGACTTAAATAAGAATGCTAATAATATCGGCCGAATAGCCGAAAACATTAAAAGTTCAGAAACCAACATTCGCAAAATAATTTTGGAAGAAGCCAGAACGGAATTAAACAATCTTTAACCAAACATTAGTTTTTTTTTTTTTTTTTTCACTAACCAGGCGAGCAAGAATATTATTACTCCTGCTAGGATTATTCCACCTAAAATAGTTAAAAGTCTTAGTAGTAATTTTTCGTTCTTACCTGGAGATTCGTGCTGAGTTTGTGCCTCGGAATTTATTTTACTTTTAATTTCGGCTCACTGCTCGGAGGGAAAATATTCTTTAAGAAACATTTTATTTTCCTCTCTTTTCAGAAATAGATCTTTGCCATATTCTATCTTGGCAGACTGGTGGATTAGTATTTCCAATTCGTCATTTCTGATATCACCAGTTCAATCATGATAATATTCTCTATCACTATTCAAAAGTTTGGCCCGGACAATTTTTCATTCCTTAATATGCTGTTTAATATTTTCAGTAATGGCTCTTTGAACTTTTTGGGACCCTTCAACAGTGAAATTATTTATTTTCAAGTAATTTGGAGGAAAACATTCAGCGTCAACCAAATTTTTTTGGTTTAGTTCTTTTACTATTTCACTGGCTTTGAATTTCTTAATTTCTTTTTGGCACGGAGAGCAAAGTAGAAAATTATTCTCTTTGTTTGCCCCTTTTCGGCCTAGAAATTCTTGTTCTCAATTTCGTTTCCTTTTAGACGACTCACTATAACTAATTTGACAAATTCCTTGTTGAGTGCCACAACTATCACATTTATTCATACTTTTTACCTGCCTAAACCAAAACTTTTTGGCAAATTTTTATTGGCACATCGGTAACTTCTCAGCCTGAATCTTCAAGTTTGATTTTAACTTTCTGCTTCTTTTCATTAATATGGATAATTCTTGCCTCTTTTCCGGCAAATATTCCCTCTGTAATTTTTACCAAGTCCTTATCACTTAGAGTAGTATTATGAATAACTGCTTTAACCTCTTTTTTTTCCCGCATCTTGGCAAAGAAATTTTTAATCACTTTTTCAGAAACAGAATTGGGTAACTCTTCTCTGCCTCTTTTATGATTCAAAAAATTAATCACTCCTGGAACACTGTAAAAAAAACTCACTAACTCAGGATTTAGATTAAAATAGCCAAGTATATGGCCTTTAATAACTTTCTCCTTGTTGGCATTGCTGAACGTTTTCAAATCTTTAACCCAAACTTTCATTTCCTTTTCCTCTTCTAGTCTTTTTCTGATGTCTTCAATGACTTTTTCTTCTCTTCCGCTACGCACGGACAAAATATATCAATGATAAAAATTCTTTTTCATTTTCTTAAAAAATACTTGCTCCTTCCTTAATCTTCAAAAGAGAAAATATTCCGGCAATTACAAACATGTAAACCAAAACAATTACCGCAATGAGTAAGCAAGCAAAAAAACTTAAATCAAAAGATAAAAACTTAAACAATTTATTATATTTCTGGATTGGGCTGGAACAAACTTTTTTTTTCATACAATCTTATTAAAGATATTTTACTTGTTATTATTACTTTATCTGGGTTAGTTCGGAACACAGTTTTTTAGAATATTATCTCTCTGTTGAACTCTGAATTTTATTCTAGATTTAGTAAATAGATTGAAAGTTTGTAATTCAAATTAAATTTTTCATTTTTATATTCTCATTTACTACCTTTCGGGGCTTCAACAGGTCTTCCGTATTTTTCTCCTAATTTTCGGGCAAGTTTTCAGCGGTGGTATAATAATCATTGTCCCCTATCTCTTAATTCGGCCAAAGTATTCACCCATTCATTAAGTTCTTTCAAACTAGTTAGGTCAGGAAATTTTTTGGAAAGTTTCTTTATTTCTTTGAAAAGGTTTTTTTGTCCCTGGTCTTCCATACTGTAAAATTTCAAGGGAGGCTATTCAGTCTACTTCGCAGTTTGGTTTAAGTTCTAAGAAATCAGCACTATACGACAGAACAAAAAGTTTATTATAGGCTAGTTGCATTTTTTCTTCAAACTCGGATTGGTTAGGAGGGTTGAAAAAAACTCTCTCATGATATTTTTCAAAAACTTTTTTTCAAACATTCTCTTCATCTAATAGGTTTTTCTGACCAAATTCTTTTTCTCACTCTCTAATTTCTGGAAAATTCAACCTTTTGGCATCTCTAATTAGTTGCTCTTCTATTTCCTCTTCAGTTCACCTTTTTCCTTGGCTCCTTCATACATACTCGACAAATTCTTTCTTGGCTCTTTCTTCGGAGGAACCAGGAGGAAAGATAATATTCCAGGTGGAATAGCCATCGGGGTTTACGTATTTATCTCCAAATTCTCCCCGGGGGTCAAAAGAAGGAGAAGAATCGCCTTTTCTTCAAAAGAGGAAAATTAAACCGACTACTAATAAACTGAATATTACTAAACTAATAATAATTATAAACTTCCATTTCTTTCTCACAATAAGAATATTAACAATTTTAACTTTTTTCCAATTCCTCCCCGACTTATAAAAGTTTGGAAATTTCTTGATAAGGTTAAGTCTAAAACTTTACTACAATAAACTTATAGGTTATACCTTGCGTCTGTAGCTCAGCGGATAGAGTATCTGACTTCGGATCAGAGGGTCGGGGGTTCGAATCCTCCGAGACGCGCCATTAACTATAATAGAGTTTACTTTAAAAACTCACTTCCTTTTTCTGCTAATTATTAACTAAAAAGATTTATAGGAAATTAAAATGCCAAGGCAAAAATCTAAAAGCAAAATAATCTTTCTTCTACTTATTATTCTCTTTCACCTTCTTCCTATTTTTGTTTCTGCTTATTACGATATAGCTCTCCATCCAGGACACAAAGAAGTTATGAAACTAACTGATATAAGGTATTGGTTATGATTTTTTACTTGATGGTCCGCCTGGGCCTCCTTGCTGGCTATACCTTGAGCCATTTATAAATTATTCAACTTAAAAAAGAGCAAGAGTACCTACAATGAACAAATAATAGACTTAATAGTTACTGAAACTAATTTAATTAGTGGTTGATTTTTTTGTCTTGGAGGCTTTTTTTTGACTATCCCAGATGCTAAGCATTCTATAATAACATATCCCCTCCTCGGTGAAGTTAAAACTATTCATATTTGGTTATTCTACAATCTTTTTTGGCACATTTTAGCTCCTAGCCTAGTCTTATACTACTTCTGAAAGTATTGTCATGTTAACAAAATAGAAAAAAAAAGAAAAACAAGCCTGCTTGCTAGCCTAATCAACCCTACAATTTATTTTTTTTACGTCATTTTACGACCGCTAGCAGCCAATCTCCCAAAATTAGGAGGAAATAATCTTCCACACAGGTACCCTCGGGATTATCCTTATCCTTTTTTTTTCTGAGGAATGGGAAAACCTGCCAGCGGCAGGGAAGGGAAGGAATCTTCATTTTTTTGACATAAGTGACCAAACCAACTTCAAATTTTGTTTTGGATAGCAATGATTATTATTTTAGCATACCTGAGCTTTTCACTCCTCTTCTATTTTTTACTATGAATTAAAAATCCGACCAGAATAAAAAAAGTACATTAACTACTCCGGTTAAGGAAAGAATCAGGGTTAAAGGGAGTTCTTTTTGAAAGAAAGTCGGTTGGAAGTTAGGATTAGCGTAGTTTTCTAGTTGGGTTAGCAACAAACGAGATTCATTTTAATAGGTGTTTGTTAAAAGGGATTAGTGCTATTAATAAAAGCCAAAAGTTTTATTTTAGTTTCCTCTTTGTTTTTTTTACTTTGGAAAATTTTTTTCACTAGTTGCTCCAAATTAGTAAATTTTTTATTGTCTTCTTTCTCAATCTGTTTCACTATTTATTTTACTAATTTTCTTTCCTAGGATTTTCACTTGGTCGACCAATTCTGATATTTTTTCTGAAATTGACATGAGTATCCTTGCTAAAACTATGATAAATAATTTATAATGATAATTTCGATTAGAGAGATTTATCAGCAACCTGAAAAATTAAGTCAATTAGCCCAAATTAAAGTTGGTGGTTGGGCTAAATCAGTTAGAGAAAGTAAAGATATTATTTTTATTATTCTTAATGATGGAACTACTTTAACTAATTTACAAGTAGTCATTTCCAAAAAATTTTTCTCCCAATTAGATTTATTAGAAAAAGTTAATTTTGGTAGCAGTTTACTAGTAAATGGAAAATTGCTTCTTACTCCCCAACGTAAACAACCCTGCGAATTACAGGTCACTGAAATCGAACTTATTAATCCGGTTGCCGATGATTATCCTCTCCAAAAAAAAAATATTCCTTTGGAAGTGGTACGAAACACTCCCCACTTGCGAGCCAAAACTAACTATTTTTTAGCGCTTTTCCGTCTACGCCATAGCATTAGCAAAGCCCTTCATGATTTCTTTCACCAGGAAGGCTTTTATTACGTTCCTACTCCCATTATCACTAGCAATGACGCCGAAGGGGCTGGTGAAATTTTTAACCTTACTACCAATGAAAAAGAGCCTTTTTTCTCTATTCCGGCCAAATTAACTGTCAGCGGACAATTACAAGCAGAAGCCTTAGTCCAAGGCTTAGGGAAAATTTATACTTTTGGTCCTTGTTTTCGAGCGGAAAAATCCCATACCACTCGCCATTTAGCCGAATTTTGGATGGTCGAGCCAGAAATGATTTTTACTGATTTAGACGGAATAATTAGTTTAGCCGAAAGGTTAATCAAACACGTAATAGGTTATGTTCTTAGTAATAACAGTTCCGAATTAAAATTTTTAGAAATCTATGACGAGCAAAAGAAAAAGGAAATAATCACCAAATTAAAAAAAATTGCCGGTGAAGAATTTGAAAAAATTGACTATAGTGAGGTTATTGAATTGCTTGAAAAAAACAAAGAAAATTTTGTTTTTAGTAATATTAAGTGAGGGATGGACCTACAATCCGAACATGAAAAATACTTGTGCCAACATTTTGATAACAGCCCAATTTTTGTACTTAATTATCCCGCCGAAATAAAGGCCTTTTACATGAAAAAAAATTTTGGAAAGAAAACTGTTGCCTGCTTTGACCTATTGTTTCCAGAAGTCGGAGAGTTAATTGGCGGGAGCATGCGTGATGATAGATACCTAACTTTACAAGCGAGAGCCAGAAAAGTTGGTTTAGATATAAAAAATTTAAGTTGGTATTTTGACTTGAGAAAATGTGGTTATGCCCCTAGTGGCGGATTTGGTTTGGGGTTAGAAAGATTGATAATGTTTATCAGCGGTACCGAAAACATTCGGGACACGATTGCCTTTCCGAGATTTCCAGGAAAATTAGAGTTTTAAAAAAAAGTATCAGGAATTCCAACACGTTTTTTTCTTTTCTTAACAGTCCCTCTTCTTTCTTTTTAACTCCCGGTCAGAAGTTATTTGAAAAGTGAAAAGAGTTCTTTGCGAATGGGACATTCCTTAAAATTTTTGGCATTGACATACAATATTGCACTAAATTAATCTATTACAATGTGCAAAATTAATGCTCGTTTTTAGGAAATTTTGTAACTTACTTCTTTCTAATAAATTTACTAATCAAATACCAAAAAAGAAAACTAATAAAGGGAACAACTAAGCAAAAAAGATCTCATCAATAATTATTTTCCCTAATCAATTCACCACTACCTAGACCTATTCAAACAATTGCAATAATTCAAATAACACAAAGAGAAACATGGTAAGTCATTAATCAAGAAGGTTTAAAAACAACTATTAGAAAAGGAACTAAAATAAAAATAGCAGGCATTCCGGTTCCTAATCCTTGCATAACTACATTATCTTACATTCTTGCTTGGGAGGAACTTGAATTATATATTCTCTCTCATTTTCCTCTATTCTAGTTGGTCTATAAGAAGTTAAATTTTCAAACCTTCCATTACTGTTCCAAGATTTTATTTCGGTTTCTAAGCAAAAATCTCTACTTTCATAAGGTCATTTATTGTTAGTTTTGAAAGAATTTCCAGTGAAGATATTTATAATAGGAATGTCTCTTCAAATACTTCCTCAGTGACTAGGTTGAAAGATTTTTCAAAAGGCATTGTGTTGTTTAGTTCAAGCACTTTCTCATATTTTTCCTGCTAAGTTCTGAGTCCAATTATTATCTCCAATTTGTTCAGAGAAGAATACACCAAAAACTATGGCATTAGCAAAGTGTTCACAATTATCGTTGTATAAGTCATATTTACCCTCACCATAGTCAGCTCATCAAGCCTTTACTGCTTGTTCGATTGACTTCTTATAATGTTTAAAAGGAATGATAGAGTGGTACCTATACATTTTACCAGTTCTGCCTCCTATGCTTGTTCCAAATCAACCCTTTAAAAATGTATCTCAACTAGTAATTCGCACTTTCATATTTTCTTCCGAAATCAAACCATTAGGATCAGAGAAGTGACAAATTTTATCCTTTCCTAAATAAACTCCTACATGAAAATAAGCAGTGCCAAATACTATGTCCCTTTTCTCTATCTTTACAATATCTAGTGGTCGAAAACAACTGTCCAAGTCGGAAGGAGTTCAACCACTACCAATAACAAATAAACCATATCAATTAGAACTAGCACTACCTATTTCCTCTTTTGCTACATAAGGGCTAGTGGTAAAAGTGTCAAAAGAACGAGAACAATCACAATAAGGGTGAATTAAAAGAATAGGATGATCATGATATCATACACTTACTTCAACAGTCAGTCGACCTCGTAGTATATTCGCTTCAGATTCTGCACTTGGTAAATAATTGTGCTTACCACGCTTTTCTTTACCTCAATAATTACAATCCTTATCAGTTGGGAACACTGCTGGGCGATAAGTGCTATATGCTGAGTCATAAACTAGTAAGAAGACCCAATAATAACCATCATAGTAAGCAACAACAGTAGCAAGATTATTATTCCATCAAGTGCTAAATCTGTTTATTTCATAAACAGTTCCGGGAATAGAAGTTCTTTCTTTAATTAATTCTTTATACCTAGATTTTTGACTATGAGTGCAAGCCAAAGAAATACTATCGCATCTATAGCACATTCGAGAACGAAAAAGAGTAATTTCAGGTTTATAACTTTGATACTCGGCTCAACTGTTTTCGAATGATCGACATTTATCACAATACCATTTCCCATTTCCTTCTACACGCCTTACTATTACCGAGTTGTCAAAGACATGATTATGATTGTAATAGGAAGTGAAACCCAAATGAATCCTTAACTGATGACCAGTTTCCCAAGTATTGTAAGGAAAACAATCTGCAACAAAAATTGTTGCACAACTACCATCTTTATAAGTGATAATTTCATCCATTGAAAATGAAAATCGAATAGGACCTGCAAATCTATCTATCACCTTAATTTTACAAATTTTGTAATCTGTCATAATATAACTATTTTAATAGTTTTATTTATTTCTTTTTAGGTTTAGGCACACTTAATAGCGCTTTAAACTTTTTGTCAAAATCTTCCTTCATTTGCTTTTTTTCATCTTTTACAGTTAAATTTAAATCAATGTAAAGTAATTCTTTTTGTCGACTATACTTTTCTTCTAACCTTCTGAACTCTTCCATATTTTCTGAAATCGAGAAAAGAGTTTCGATAGAGTAAATTGTTTTTTTAGCATCTTCTCTGCCTACTTCAGTAGTTAGTAATTGGTGTAGATTATGTTTATAGTTTCCTCCTTTTCCCTTGGGAGTTTCTTTTTTTAGTTTTTCTAAAACACCTTTGGGTAAGTTTCCATAAATGTATTTATTAGTTAGCGTACCAATAAAACCAGGTCTTGCTATGTTTCCAACAGTGAAAGGTAGATTATAAAGTCTAAATATTTGTTTATAAAAAGTTCAAGGGAATATTCTTTCTCATTTTTGAGGTTTATCCAAAATGTATAAACCTAGGATTTTGTCTAATTGTTTTTGTAATGCATCCCTTTCTCTCTCATACTGGTAGCCAGTAGCTTCGGCTACTAAAGCTATGATACCAATTTTGGCAAACGAACTCATTATCATTTCACATTGGTCAGCAATTATTGCTTGTCGAGATGATAAATGGATGTTTCTCCTCGCTTCTAAGTAGATATTACATATGTCTGGCAATACAGTCGCTTTATATCCATGGATTTCAGTGCCATTTTCAGTATAGCAAATAATAGGATCAAAATCGCCCACCTCTTTAAACCTATCTACAAAGGACTTAAGAGATTTTTGACCTAAATTTTCGACCAGTCTACCTCCTGAACTTTGTTTGTCATTTTCATCGGTCATTTTTAAGGCATTTTGCATACCCCGAGTTGACAAAATTGCAGTTCCATCTTCTAAGTTATAGCAACGTACCTTATACCCTGCTAAATCTAGTATACCTTCTTTTATTATTTTTCTTCTTTTTGTTTTTGTAGTTGCATCTTTCATAATTTTAACTGATTAATTGTTGATAAGTCAACCTTTTACCTGCCGCCGAAATAAGCATCAAGTCAAATCTATCTTTCTCTTTATACTTCCGAGTATTATAACGAAAAGTAAATTCATTTACATATCTTTGTGTGTGTTTTTTGCTTATCCAATGATAAATTCCGTAAATGCCTCTTTTCAGATGAGACCAAAAATTCTCTATCAGATTAGTAGAAGCATTGCCATTGACATATTGCTTTGCTTTGTGATTAACTATTTGGTGGTTAAACATTTTAGGTAGATTTTTGCTGTGTCGGTACCAATCATCAGAGTAAAGATTAGAACCTTTTTTAACATTCTTTTTAATCATCGACTCTAATATTTTTTGTTTGGTATTCGGAACTTTTTGAGCAATCACATAACCTCCCCTTTTTGCTGCTCCTCAAACTGGAGTTTTATCTTTCCAACTCCTGCCTTGCGATTTAGGAACTTTCTTATCTTTGTGTCTATTTTTGTTCTTGCCTCCAATAAAGGTTTCATCTGTTTCTACAAATCCATCCAGCATATTCCTAAAATTGGGATGTTCAAAGGCTTCACGTAATCTCTGCGACATAAATCAAGCAGTCTTTTGAGTAACTTTGATATATTTGACTAACTGCCGAGTTGAAACTCCTTTTTTATTAGAAGAAAGTAAGTAAAAAGTTATGAACCATTTTTGCAGAGGTATATTGCTATCCTCGAATACTGTTCCATTTCTAATGCTGAAGCGTTTACCAGTATTCTTACACTTATATCAACCATCAGCAAGTTCATAGACTTTAGATGAAGAATCGTAGGGAGAAACTACATTTCCATTTCATCTACTTTTTTTAAAATAATCAATGCAGCTTTGCTCATTAGGAAATTCTTCTAATAAAAAACTAATTATACTTTCAAAATTAGACATATATATATTTTAGTGCAATATTGTATGTCAATGCCAAATTTTTTTATTGTTTATTCTTTTTTTTAGTTTTTTTTTGTTTATAATCAATACTGTTAATAATACCTCCTATCGCTAATAAAACTGTTCCGCCAACAATTCAACCAGTAGGAAATTTATCATTAGAATTATTTGGTTGCGAACTCGAATGAGAACCAGCACTATAATAAGAGTTTAATTCCTCTAATTTTTGCTGATTTTTTTGTAATCTTTCTTGTCGTTCTGAACTAGTTAGATTTCGGTTGTTTTTTAATTCTTCATTTTCGGCTTTTAAGCGATTGATTTCAGCGATAAGTTGGTTTTTGGTTCAGGTTTGGTAATTAATATCACTATTGTTGTCTTTTTCAATTGGTTTTTCCTCTTTGGGTAGTTTCCCATTTTCTAAACCAAAAATATTATCAATTTCTTTACTAAATCAGGGGTCATTTAACACTTCCTTGGCAGACAGTTCTTTAAACCCTCCTGACTTCTTTCACTTATCAGTTTTATTAAACTCTTCCTCGCTAATATTTTCTAATCTTTTTAACTCTTGCTCTATCAGTTTAGGAGTTGTTTCTGGGTCTCACTGTCGGAGACCATCCCCAAAATCGGTTCCGCAATAGTTATTTTTATCTTTACAAGTATACTGTTCTACAAACTCTATAAATGCTCGTAATCTATCGGTGTAAAAACTAACTTCTCTTTCAGTTTGAAAATTATTTATCTTTTCTTGCCAGTTTTTTCAGTAGTCAGAGGAGGACAAATAGTCCTCCCAATGAGTGTGAAATATTTCTTTTCGGCTCGCATAATTGCCTTGACTTCTGAGGAAAGAAATTGAACCACTTTTGCAATCTTTAAGATTTCTTGTAGCAACTCGTTTTTCTAAATCTTCTTTGTAGTTATCTCAATCAGTAAATCTTTTATTCATAGTAATTAAAAGTCGGCTCAACCAATTCTCCTATAACTAGTTTCATTGCCTCTTATATAACTTTTTGCTTCCTCTATTCCAACTCGTTCACACTTCTCCTCAAGTCGTCTCAACTCATAAAGGTCAAGTACCAACAATTTTACCTCTGGACTACCACGAAATGAGGCCTTAAAAGTATCATAAGCTGGTCTTTCATCCTTAACATATATTCAACCAAGACAATTTCAAACTATATAACGAGAACCATACTCATAAGAATTCCTTTTATTTGCTTCAAAACTTCTCTCGTTTACTCCACCAACACTAGGTCAATACGGAAGAAGATTATAGTATTCATCTCATATATATTTGGCTAAATCCTCCCTTGCCTCCCTCAATTCTTCATAATGTCGCCTTACTGCCTCCGAATTTTGACAAATTTCCGATACATATTCTCTAATTTTTTTATGATATTCCGTTCATGCCGCAGATCCAGTTTTACTATAATCATCTGTGTGAGAACAAGGAACTCTAAAAGCATTTTGTCCTCGATATGCACTAAAAGCACTTTCATCTTTCAAAAAAGCCAAAGTAAGTTCCCGATTTCATTTAAGGAGTTTCGCAACATTAGGGAAATCGTACTCTATTCTACTCATTATCGAATGAGAACTGGCAACTATCGATGAATCACTCCCAAAAGGCATAGGTCCAGACCTTTTTCCCACTCCAATATCTTTATAACCATCTACTTCAAAATTATAACTGTTAATTATTCCCTCATCACTCTCATAAGTTTTCATAAACTCCTCAAAACTAGGAACTTCATTTTTTAATTCTTGAACTGTTTCAAAAGGTTTTTTATTTTCTATTAAATATGGATTTTGTTTTGGCATATTGTTTTAAATATTTTGTATAAATTTTTATTTTTTTTATGTTTTGTTTGCTAATTTATACAGTTTAGCATCTGTTTTTGGTAAAAAATCAGTAAGAATGTGAACTTACCTTATTATTTAATTGTGATTGCCTTAAACAATCTTGTTTTTTTTGGCTCTATGGTAGAGCAAGTTTTCATATAAGCCATTCATAGAATATCGCCTATATATTATATTATTTATATTTATCAAAATTAAAAAACTCCCAATTATCCAGTAATTATTTTTTAGAAAAAGCCAGATATCCAGCAAAATATTTTCTACTTTTTTTATTCTTTGAATAAGCAACTAAAATTTTCCCAGTATCCAAGAAGTAAAAACGCAGTTATCCAGGAACCATATTTTTAAGAAAAATTTCTGTATCCAAGAACTCAACAAAAAACCTTCTGAAATTAGGAAAATTATTTTTCTTTATATTTTATATAACCCTTTTTGTCCTAAAATGACCTTATATGACTTAAAACACGGAATTAGAAAAAGCAGGAGAATACTCACTAAATACCAGACAATCAGGAGAAGCCTTGGAACTGTTAACCAATTTAGAAAATAATAGTGTTAGCCTAGTTTTTTTAGATCCGCAATATGAAGCTGTGCGGAATGTCTTACGGACTGATTATCCTTTATACTCTCAGAGTGATTATCAGATATTAAGAATATTGGAGCAAGTGGAAAGAACTCTTAAACCTTCGACCTTTTGCTTATTGTGAGTAAATAAAACTTTGCTTGGTAATGATAGAGTGCCATTGTGATTACTCAAAACTCCTTCTTTAAAAATAGTAGACTGCTTGGTTTGGCATAAGAAAAATTATTTAGGACTTGGTAATTGGTTAAGAAGTAATGCTGAATTCTGTTTTTTAATTCAGAAGTACCCGCAAAAAGGAAAAGTTTTTAAAAACCGCTCCTTTGGTAATGTTTGGGAAGAGAATGTGGTAAAAGTTAGTGAGAGAAAACACCCGCACCAAAAACCCCGTTCCTAATGAGCCTGATACAGAACAAGAAGGATTAGCAGCATTAAACAAACAATTAAACTTCTATATAGAATACTTTGAATATGCTGGTAAGTTATTTTGAAAATTATCTGATTTGTTTAATACCGATTATAAATTTTGACACTCTGTTTGTGCAATTCCTAAAAAATTCACCAACGGAAAGGAAGTAGAAATTAAAATTATAAGTTTTGGCATTGACATACAATATTGCACTAAATTAATCTATTACAATGTGCAAAATTAATGCTCGTTTTTAGGAAATTTTGTAACTTACTTCTTTCTAATAAATTTACTAATCAAATACCAAAAAAGAAAACTAATAAAGGGAACAACTAAGCAAAAAAGATCTCATCAATAATTATTTTCCCTAATCAATTCACCACTACCTAGACCTATTCAAACAATTGCAATAATTCAAATAACACAAAGAGAAACATGGTAAGTCATTAATCAAGAAGGTTTAAAAACAACTATTAGAAAAGGAACTAAAATAAAAATAGCAGGCATTCCGGTTCCTAATCCTTGCATAACTACATTATCTTACATTCTTGCTTGGGAGGAACTTGAATTATATATTCTCTCTCATTTTCCTCTATTCTAGTTGGTCTATAAGAAGTTAAATTTTCAAACCTTCCATTACTGTTCCAAGATTTTATTTCGGTTTCTAAGCAAAAATCTCTACTTTCATAAGGTCATTTATTGTTAGTTTTGAAAGAATTTCCAGTGAAGATATTTATAATAGGAATGTCTCTTCAAATACTTCCTCAGTGACTAGGTTGAAAGATTTTTCAAAAGGCATTGTGTTGTTTAGTTCAAGCACTTTCTCATATTTTTCCTGCTAAGTTCTGAGTCCAATTATTATCTCCAATTTGTTCAGAGAAGAATACACCAAAAACTATGGCATTAGCAAAGTGTTCACAATTATCGTTGTATAAGTCATATTTACCCTCACCATAGTCAGCTCATCAAGCCTTTACTGCTTGTTCGATTGACTTCTTATAATGTTTAAAAGGAATGATAGAGTGGTACCTATACATTTTACCAGTTCTGCCTCCTATGCTTGTTCCAAATCAACCCTTTAAAAATGTATCTCAACTAGTAATTCGCACTTTCATATTTTCTTCCGAAATCAAACCATTAGGATCAGAGAAGTGACAAATTTTATCCTTTCCTAAATAAACTCCTACATGAAAATAAGCAGTGCCAAATACTATGTCCCTTTTCTCTATCTTTACAATATCTAGTGGTCGAAAACAACTGTCCAAGTCGGAAGGAGTTCAACCACTACCAATAACAAATAAACCATATCAATTAGAACTAGCACTACCTATTTCCTCTTTTGCTACATAAGGGCTAGTGGTAAAAGTGTCAAAAGAACGAGAACAATCACAATAAGGGTGAATTAAAAGAATAGGATGATCATGATATCATACACTTACTTCAACAGTCAGTCGACCTCGTAGTATATTCGCTTCAGATTCTGCACTTGGTAAATAATTGTGCTTACCACGCTTTTCTTTACCTCAATAATTACAATCCTTATCAGTTGGGAACACTGCTGGGCGATAAGTGCTATATGCTGAGTCATAAACTAGTAAGAAGACCCAATAATAACCATCATAGTAAGCAACAACAGTAGCAAGATTATTATTCCATCAAGTGCTAAATCTGTTTATTTCATAAACAGTTCCGGGAATAGAAGTTCTTTCTTTAATTAATTCTTTATACCTAGATTTTTGACTATGAGTGCAAGCCAAAGAAATACTATCGCATCTATAGCACATTCGAGAACGAAAAAGAGTAATTTCAGGTTTATAACTTTGATACTCGGCTCAACTGTTTTCGAATGATCGACATTTATCACAATACCATTTCCCATTTCCTTCTACACGCCTTACTATTACCGAGTTGTCAAAGACATGATTATGATTGTAATAGGAAGTGAAACCCAAATGAATCCTTAACTGATGACCAGTTTCCCAAGTATTGTAAGGAAAACAATCTGCAACAAAAATTGTTGCACAACTACCATCTTTATAAGTGATAATTTCATCCATTGAAAATGAAAATCGAATAGGACCTGCAAATCTATCTATCACCTTAATTTTACAAATTTTGTAATCTGTCATAATATAACTATTTTAATAGTTTTATTTATTTCTTTTTAGGTTTAGGCACACTTAATAGCGCTTTAAACTTTTTGTCAAAATCTTCCTTCATTTGCTTTTTTTCATCTTTTACAGTTAAATTTAAATCAATGTAAAGTAATTCTTTTTGTCGACTATACTTTTCTTCTAACCTTCTGAACTCTTCCATATTTTCTGAAATCGAGAAAAGAGTTTCGATAGAGTAAATTGTTTTTTTAGCATCTTCTCTGCCTACTTCAGTAGTTAGTAATTGGTGTAGATTATGTTTATAGTTTCCTCCTTTTCCCTTGGGAGTTTCTTTTTTTAGTTTTTCTAAAACACCTTTGGGTAAGTTTCCATAAATGTATTTATTAGTTAGCGTACCAATAAAACCAGGTCTTGCTATGTTTCCAACAGTGAAAGGTAGATTATAAAGTCTAAATATTTGTTTATAAAAAGTTCAAGGGAATATTCTTTCTCATTTTTGAGGTTTATCCAAAATGTATAAACCTAGGATTTTGTCTAATTGTTTTTGTAATGCATCCCTTTCTCTCTCATACTGGTAGCCAGTAGCTTCGGCTACTAAAGCTATGATACCAATTTTGGCAAACGAACTCATTATCATTTCACATTGGTCAGCAATTATTGCTTGTCGAGATGATAAATGGATGTTTCTCCTCGCTTCTAAGTAGATATTACATATGTCTGGCAATACAGTCGCTTTATATCCATGGATTTCAGTGCCATTTTCAGTATAGCAAATAATAGGATCAAAATCGCCCACCTCTTTAAACCTATCTACAAAGGACTTAAGAGATTTTTGACCTAAATTTTCGACCAGTCTACCTCCTGAACTTTGTTTGTCATTTTCATCGGTCATTTTTAAGGCATTTTGCATACCCCGAGTTGACAAAATTGCAGTTCCATCTTCTAAGTTATAGCAACGTACCTTATACCCTGCTAAATCTAGTATACCTTCTTTTATTATTTTTCTTCTTTTTGTTTTTGTAGTTGCATCTTTCATAATTTTAACTGATTAATTGTTGATAAGTCAACCTTTTACCTGCCGCCGAAATAAGCATCAAGTCAAATCTATCTTTCTCTTTATACTTCCGAGTATTATAACGAAAAGTAAATTCATTTACATATCTTTGTGTGTGTTTTTTGCTTATCCAATGATAAATTCCGTAAATGCCTCTTTTCAGATGAGACCAAAAATTCTCTATCAGATTAGTAGAAGCATTGCCATTGACATATTGCTTTGCTTTGTGATTAACTATTTGGTGGTTAAACATTTTAGGTAGATTTTTGCTGTGTCGGTACCAATCATCAGAGTAAAGATTAGAACCTTTTTTAACATTCTTTTTAATCATCGACTCTAATATTTTTTGTTTGGTATTCGGAACTTTTTGAGCAATCACATAACCTCCCCTTTTTGCTGCTCCTCAAACTGGAGTTTTATCTTTCCAACTCCTGCCTTGCGATTTAGGAACTTTCTTATCTTTGTGTCTATTTTTGTTCTTGCCTCCAATAAAGGTTTCATCTGTTTCTACAAATCCATCCAGCATATTCCTAAAATTGGGATGTTCAAAGGCTTCACGTAATCTCTGCGACATAAATCAAGCAGTCTTTTGAGTAACTTTGATATATTTGACTAACTGCCGAGTTGAAACTCCTTTTTTATTAGAAGAAAGTAAGTAAAAAGTTATGAACCATTTTTGCAGAGGTATATTGCTATCCTCGAATACTGTTCCATTTCTAATGCTGAAGCGTTTACCAGTATTCTTACACTTATATCAACCATCAGCAAGTTCATAGACTTTAGATGAAGAATCGTAGGGAGAAACTACATTTCCATTTCATCTACTTTTTTTAAAATAATCAATGCAGCTTTGCTCATTAGGAAATTCTTCTAATAAAAAACTAATTATACTTTCAAAATTAGACATATATATATTTTAGTGCAATATTGTATGTCAATGCCAAATTTTTTTATTGTTTATTCTTTTTTTTAGTTTCTTGCTATTATTTATAATTTCCTATTCATTATATAGTTAACTCAACTTATTAATCCCGACGAGAACGTAAACCTCTTTTTTTAATGACTTCTGCCAAAACAAAAATTACTGCTACCGCCACCATTCCACCGACTACGTACTTAACACTAGTGGGAAAACTACTTTCAGAAGTATTTTTTTTCTGCGGAGAGTTACTTTTTTTGAACAAATTATCTATTTTGCTTTTCTCGGCCTTATAAGCCTCTTGGTAAAAAGAATTACTATTCTTAATGAAAGCGATAATTTCTTTCTTCTTCTCATCAGAGGGATTACTTTGGAAATCTTCTAGCAATTTTTCTAATTTTCTTTTTGCGCCTTTAAGTTTAATATCGTTGCTAACTTCATCTTTTATTTCATCGGCTTCTGCTTGCTGAATTCCCCGGTTTTTTAATTTTCTCAATTTTATTTGGGTTTCTTCATCTAGTTCATTTTCTTTAATCTCCTCATCCTTTAATTCTTGCTCAGTCATTTTATTTAGAGTTGCGAGATAACTCTCAATATCCTGCTCAGCCAGTTTCTTTTTCAGTGCATCCCCTCTCTCTTTCAAGTCATTATAAACTTTTTCTCCCCTAAATCTTTCTATTTGCTCTATTATTCCCCTTAATTCTGCTGGGTCATTAGTTTTCTCGCCTCTTTGGATAAGTTCGGACAATTTTCCCTGGTCTTCCTTTTCTTTCTTTTTTTGCTGAATAACGGCTAAAAGATTTTCTTTTATTTGGTTAATGTAATCAGTAGCATTTTTGTTAATCAAAATCTTTCACTGGCGGTCGGTTTCGGGTAAATCTTGGTCCGTTATTTGGGCTTCTTGCATGGCTTGGCTAATTTCAGCAATAGTGTCTGCTCTAAGTTTTTCGAGATTTTGGTCTTGACCATTGTCATCTGTTTCGATTTCTTCTGGTTCGGAAAAGTTTTCCTCTTCGTTTTCATTTGTATTTTCGGAGGAATCCCCTTGTCTGCCTTCATTTTCGCTATTTTCCCCTTCATTCTGATTTCCATTTCCTGCACCTTCAACATTTACTTCTCCAGCCTGGTTCCCATTACTTGGTTTAATTTTTGGAGGATTATTAGTTTTACTTTCCCCTTTCGCCTTCTTCCTTAACGCTTTCACAAATTCCTCTAATTCTTCTAGAGCTTCTGAAAAGAAACCTTTCACCTCTTCCAGTGTATAATGGCGGCCGTGTTCGGTCCTAAGGTCTATTAAAAATTTGCGAAAAAGTTCATAACTTTTCGAAAAGTGCTTGGCTATTAAATCATACTCTAAATACTTTTCTTTACTTTTCACGATTAGACCCAACAATTTTAAAGCCGCAGAACCGCAAGGCACTGTTAATTCATCCTCATCATCAATTTTCGCAAAAATTTTGCCGGTGGCAGTTCCTCTGTGTCTAATTATGTATTGAGTTATTTCTGAGTGAGCCGTAGCAGCGTAATAAGAACCAGAATGCTCATAATCCTCTTGCTTATATTTTTTCTCTAATCCTTTCTTGATTAAATTTTTTAACTTTCTTCTTTGATCTTGGTCGAATAATTTATTTATTATTTCTTTTGCCGCCGCTTCCTGAAAAGAGTCACTGTTATAATAACGGCTACCGAAAGGATTCAAAAAACCTACCTCTATTTCCATTGCTCTTAGGAATTTCAATCCTATTCTTTCGACCTCTTTGTCTTCCAAATTTAACATACCTGACATAACTAACTCTATTTTACAAAAAAAAAAAAAAAAACAGTGGGGAGTATAAAAAATTTCCACTAATAATTAAAAAAATTCTAATTTCTAAAATTTTGCTGCGTTGCCTTTACTAGAAAAGTTAAATTTGTTTAGGACTTTTAATTTTTTAATGGAGAAGGAATGACAGTAATAACTTTTTCAAGTAACAAATCAATATTTTCTCCACTTTTGGCTGAAATTAGACAGATATCGCTTTCTTGACAGTTCAAAAGTTCAATAAGTTGATTTTTGGTGGCATCTAATTGAGCATGGGGCAAATCGATTTTATTAATTACTGGCAAAATTTTTAAATTGAGTTTTCTGGCAATTTCATAATAAGCAAGGGTTTGGGCCTGAATACCTTTAGTGGCATCCACCAATAAAATTACTCCCTCGCATGCTGCCAAGGAGCGAGAAACTTCATACATGAAATCTACGTGTCCAGGAGTATCTATAAGGTTAAAAACATAAGGTTCAGGGCTTTCAGGAGGATAGTATAATTGAACTGCATTTAACTTAATGGTAATTCCTTTTTCTTGTTCAAGAGAAAGGCTGTCGAGTACTCTTTCTAGAGATTTGTTACTGTTTTTTAAGTTAGTTTTTTCTAGTAGACGATCGGCCAAAGTGGATTTGCCATGGTCAATATGGGCAATAATTGAAAAATTCCGAATTTTGCTTGGGTCAATTTTTTTAGGATTATTGGAAAAATTTTTCATAAAGTTTTTTTAATACAAAAAAGCCACTTGCATTTGTGCTCTGGAAAAGATTAGGTTCCTTTCCTTACATTATTAATATTAAATTTAAATTCAGGATTTGTTATGTTATTTTGGGAATATCCCTTATTTTCCTAGGCAAAATTTACTAAAAATTATATCTAACAAATTCTCATTATATTCCTTACCACTTAATTCTTTAACTAATTTATAACTGATTTCTAAGTCACTGCATATCGCATCCAAGTAAGTCTCTTTTTTTAATTCGCTAATTATGTCTTTTAATTGCTGAATAAGGTTAGTCAACTTGGCCTGCTGCCAACTTTGGCTTAAAATTGGATAAGTTGGTAGATTGCTAATTAAGTCGCTGGAAAATAACTTACTAATTTTGGTTTCTAGTTCACTTAATTGCTGATTTTTAGCACTAATTTTTATTACTTTTTCTGGGGAAAGATAACTAGGAATTTTTATTTTTTTTTCTTTATCTACTTTATTAATAATAAGCAAGTAATTTTTATTTTTAATTTTTTTAAAAATATTTCTTTCCTCTTGACTTCATGGACAGGAATTATCTACTAAAAAAAAGATAACTTCGGCTTTTTCTAAAGCCTGTAAACTTCTTTCTACTCCAATCTTTTCTAATATGTCTTCAGTCTTATGAATACCAGCAGTATCTAATAAGGTCAAAGGAATGCCTTTTAGATTATGGCGGGCTTCTACTATATCCCGAGTGGTGCCGGCAATGGGAGAAACAATGGCTTTTTCTTCCTGCAGTAAAGCGTTTAAAAGAGTAGACTTACCAACATTCGGTTTTCCAACAATGGCAACTTTTAATCCTTCTTGGTAGACCCGACTTTCCCCGCCTTTTTTCCTAATTACTTCTAATTTTTTTAATATTTTAATTAAACGGGGAAGCACTGCCTTACCGGTTAGATATTCTACCCCATCGTATTCAGGATAATCAATGTTTACTTTAACGTTAGCAATAATATCTAGTAGCTCGCTTTCAATTACTTCGAATTCTCTTTGAACTTCTGGACTTAAATTGTGAAGGGCCAATTTGGCGGCCGACAAACTAGGAGCCTTAATTAAGTCATTAATGGCTTGGGCTTGGACCAAATTTAACTTGCCGTTAAAAAAAGCCTGCTTAGTAAATTCGCCCTCTTTGGCAAGTTCTGTCCCATTTTCTAAGACTAATTGCAATATTTGATTAACGATAAACAAATTACCGTGACAACTAATTTCCACCGCATCCTCGCCGGTAAAAGAGTGAGGTTTATAAAAGCAAAGGAGTATTACTTCGTCAATAACTTCTTTTTGGAGGTTGACAATTTTACCAAAAATTAGTTGTGGTTTTTTTTGCGGGTGTTCTGGCAAAGACCGATCAAAAATTTTAGCAATAATTGGATAAGTTTTTGGACCAGAAATCCGGATTAGAGCAATATTTTGAGTAATTGGAGCAGTAACTAAAGAAGTAATAGTTTTTTCGCCATCCATGAATTATTTTTTTCTTTTTTTGTAGAAGTTCCTCTCTCTCTCCTGACTCGGGGAATAAACTAACTTTAAAGAATAATAAACCAGCAGTCCAAACAAGATAAACCAAAATAAAACTAAGAAAATCTTTCAAACAAAGCGATAATCGCTACCAATACCTATTATTCTCCCTGTCTTCTTAGCACTTAAAAAGGGTAAATTTCACCGAGCATCAAATTCTTTACAATATTTTTCATCGGCTAATTTGCTTCGAAGAAGACAGAAAGAATAGTAAAGGGCAGGTTGAACCAGGCAAAGAAAAATAGTTAATTTCAATCTTTTTTTTAATAAATTGCTTCGGGAGTAGCGGAAAAATCAAACTATAAAAAAAGAAGGAGCAATCAAGTGCCAAAGAGGATTATAAAATCATCAGCGGATTACTCTGCCTATCTCTCCTATTTCATGGCTGGGAATAGGAACTAACTTTTTAGTATTTGCAGTAATCCCAAAAGAAGTAGTTAAACAAGTAATTAACCAGACCAAAAAACCAACTCCGTAAAATGCCAAGGTAATTAAATTACTAAGCATTACTATTAAAGAAAAAATTTGAGAAAAATAATTGTTAACTTTGGGATTTCTTCACTTTCAAAGAAAAAAGGCAATAGTTAAAATACTGTTTCAAACGCAGTATCATCCCAAAAAATGTCAAAAATATTGAAGAGGGTAATTTAATTTATCCCCCCCACTGGCTCATCCTAAAACTAGGCAATACAGGTGAGAAATAGGTAATCAAAAGAGAAATCATTTTTCTTTTTTTCAACTTAACATAAATTAAAACTAATAATTCAAAATGACTTTTTCAATTATTAGGGGGAGTGATTAGACTCCCCTTATCAATTATAATCTTTTCTTTTTTCTGTTCCTTAATGTAAATAATATTACCAATCCTATTACTGCTAATAAAACTCCTCCACCAATTACTAAACCAGTCGGGAAGTTAGAATTAGAAGGAGACAAGTTATTTTGACTAATTCCTAACCTTTCTTCACTCTTTTTGAAATCAGGAGAATTTTTATCCTTTTCTTCTTCATTCCCTGATGGATAACAAATTTGTTTAGGTGAATTTTTAATCTCTTTTTCTTCTTCTGCTAAGTTAGGAGATTTTTCTTTGCCCGGTTCAATTAATTTTCTTTCTGGGTTTTCAACTTGAAAATTAACTAGTTGACCGTTGTTGACATTTATCCCTTGAATATTTTTTTTCTGATAAGTGATATTAATAACAGAAGTTCCCTCAAATTTTTTTTCTAATTCTCGGCTATTATCTTTTTTGTTTTTTTCAGTTTTAAAAGGAATTAATACTTTTGATTCCTCAAAAAATCCTCCTAAATATCATCCTCTTATAAGGCGATCAACCATTTCTCAATTATGAAAAATAACTTTTTCTTTACTCTCGATAGTAAAATCAACTCCTTCTTGGAACTCTTTTAAAATATCTACGACATTTATAGGTTTAAATTTTTTTATTTCCAAATTCTTTTTTTCTGTATACTCAACTCACCCTCGGGGTTTATCACTTATATACAATTTTTCGGAATTTCCAAGTTTTATCGTAAAAATGCCGTTTGTTCTTCCTCAATTGTCTTCCTCGTGATAAGAACAACTTCCGCCGAATATTTTCCCAAACTTCCTTTTAGTTTCTTCAATTTGTCTATTTAAATTTTCTTGATATTTATTCATAGTTCTTTAATTTGCTTTTTTAGATGATATAGAAAATTTAATTGGTCTGCCTTGATTATCCTGAATCTCAATACTCGCTGTATATTCTTTTGTGCCTCCGCTTTGGTCTACCATAGCATCTAATTCCCGAGCCACTGCTAAACTTCGTTGCCTATTTATAGTTGAGCCAATAAACATGCTTGTTAATGAACTAGACACCGAATCTGATAAACTGATTTTTCTTACTACATTAGTTTCAGAAATAAAAAGTTTATTTGTTTTATCTAAATCAATTTCTATCCAATCTCCTACCTGATAGTCAGAAAAGGGAGGTTGATTAAGGCAATAAATATAATTCTTAGGACCGCCTTCGTAACCATAAATTCTTAGATCTTTATTATCTTTATAAATTACATCATCGTTTAAACAAAACTTTATTCAAGCCGAATCCATCTTGTAATTTTCATATCACTCCACTTCAATATCTGTTATTTTGTATTTTTGTCAATTTGTCATATTTTTAAATGTTTTATAATTTTTAAATTGTATTATTTGCTAACTTTTACAGAGTTAGCCAACTGTTTTTTTATTTAATCTTTAAAACTTTTTTATCTTTGCAGGCTGTTTATTTTCGGGTTCAGGTTCATCTTTTGCTTTATTTTCTCGGAGAAGTAAATAAATTATTCCGGCCAAACTTGCAATCACTAAAATGCTTAGAGCGATGTTTAGATAATAAGAAGTATTATTTTGACTTGATAACTCTCCGAACCTTTTTTCGATTAACTGATTTCTAAATTTCTCTACCTCGGAAGCACTAACGCTAACAACTTTTTTATTATATTCATCAAGTGGAATTCCTAACTTGCCAAAAACTTCCTTATCGTTTTTAATCATATCCGCTTTTTTGATTGCATCTTTTTTTAAATCATCTCTTTCCTGTTTAATTTCGTCATAATCAGTGTGAGTGCAGGAAGGACCATTTGCCATCAGTTCATTTATTTTATTAATAACTTTTTCTTTGGTAATATCTGTTAATTTTAATAAACCGCCTATTTCATTTAGTAAATTATTTACTGCTTGGGTTGCTTGCTGTAATTTTTCTTTAATTTTGTCAATACTAGTAGCATCACTTCCAGTCAATCCTAAACCTGACAAATCTACATTATTACCAATGGCTTTGGCCTCGGCATCCTTTTTTAACTTGTCGGCATCCACCTTGTCAGAACCTGGCACCAAAGGTATATCTCCACCTAAAATGTCCTTAGCGACCTTTTCTACCTCTTGTAATCTTTCTAAGTAATTAGTGCCTGAAAAATGCAGACCAGTGGTACCCTCAAAATTAATTATGTTAAGGCTGTCAGCAAAATCCTTCGTTCCTTTTAGTTCCTTAATTTCTCCACATCTATTAATGTGTAATTCTTGAAGTTTCTTACAATTTTCAAGGTTAACATTATTAAGTTTTGCATTATTATTTGCAGTAAAATTCGTTAATTTGTTAGGAACTGGTTTGCCGCCAGAAGCATCTAACTCCATTTTACTTATATCTACTATTGGGATCTGACAGTTCTCAATATCAATTTTTTTTAATTTAGGACAATCAACAATAGTTAAAGAATCGAGCGAATGATTAGTAAGATTAATCCTTTCCGTATTTTTATAACCTTTGATTTCTAAGGGACCGCTTCATTTTTCATCAACACCCAAATCATCGCTATCCAACTCTAATGGATCGGCTGTGTCTTTATCTTTAAATTTTCCTTCGAATTCTGTTTGTGCATTTTTAGTCATGTTTAAATTATTTTATTATAATGAATTTTATTTTGGACTCTGTTCTATTTGTGATAGATATTTTTTGGCTTTTTCTATTTCATAATTATTTTTTGCTTTTCAGTCATCTATAAACTTTCTCCAATAACTTTTTCCCTGATTGCTTATAAAGTATGCTGTCATTGTATAGTAATCGTCCATTTTTTTTTGATCCATGGCTGTGAGAGCAGTACCGGTTCCTGAGGAGCCTCCTGTTGCTGGCTTGGAATCCAACTCTTTTTTTACATCGGCTGGATTTTTATCTTTACCAAAGACTTTTTCTCATTCATCAAGTTTATTTTTAATATTATCATAATCTGCTGGTTTTAAATCGGCAGCAGTGTGCTTTTCCAAATCTTCTGGTTTGTGTTTTTCTTGATTATCTTGCAACTTTTTATATTCATCCAAAGTTGTATTAGGCCTACTATCTCTTTCTTTCTCAACTTTTTCATATTCCTCTTTGGAAACCATACCTTTTTCCCTGGCTTTGGTTTCTAAATCACTAGGCTTAATGTATTCTTTAAACTCATCTGCTTTATCATTTACTGCCTTGGCTAACTCTTCCTTAGTCGGTCGCTCCTTTCATTCCCTAAACTCTTTGTTATTAAGTCCGAAAGTATCCAGCAAGATAAGAGTTTTAAGTTTAGTTAAATTCTCTAATCCTCTTATTTCAACTAAATCAGGATTTCTATTCAAGTTTAATCCATTTAAGTTAGGAGTTAAACTAACATCAATCTCTTTTAGTCCATTATTGGATAAATCTAGTCGTTCAAGTTTAGGAAAATTACCCTTAAAAACAATCTCCGTAATTTCGTTATTATCTAATTTTATCTTTTCTACTTGAGGGCAATTTTCAATAACAACTTTTTCAATTTTTCCTTTTTTGTCCCGCCGTGTAAGTCTAATTTCTTGAATATTAACATAGTCCTTAATTTCTAATTCGCCAGTTAATTCTTCTGAATTTCCGGTGGTTCAATCATATAACTCTATTTTACCACTACCATTTTTGTCTTTATATTTGGTATCTAACCAATTTTGTGCTGTGTTTGACATACTATTCTTTATTTTTTTAATTTGTCTTATTAGTATTTACTTGGATTTGGGCCTCAAATTCTTTTAACTCCAATTCATTTTCCCAATTCTTTTCACCTAGATAAACTTTTACCGCCAACTTTAAAGCTTCACCTTCATCACCAGCCTTTTTGAATTCATCAATTTTACTTTGGTCTATTTTGCCATCCGCAGTAATTAAATTTGGATTTTTGCTCTTAAACTCTTCATATTCAGCAGCCCCTTTTAATTTTTCAGTTAATTTTGCTTGATCAATTTCATTTTTATCTTTGTTCTTAATCGGTTCATTAGTCGGCTCATCTAGTAATGCCTGGTATTTCTTACCTTTTTCAGCATCATCTTTTAGATTCTTTAGTTTGTCTTTATCAATTTCGCCTTTATCATTTAACAATTCTGGTATGCCATTTTCAGGATCTTTCAATTTCTCTTTATTTTGGTTATTCTTTTCTATCTCTGCAATTATCTCTTTCTTAATTTCATCCTTCGATTTGCCCTCCGCTGGTAATTTTAACTTTTCGGCTACTTCCTTCAAATCATCCTCACTAGCCTTCTCCAAAAGAGTTATAATCGGAAAAGTCTCACTAGTGTTTAGAGAAACTAACTTAGCCAAACTTTTTATACCATTAACAAATTGGAGACCTGTAGGATTTCCGTAAAAAATAAGTGTCTCCAACTGAACGCTTTTGCTTACGTCAATTTTTTCCACCTTGTTATTGCCAAAATTTAACTTTTGCAGATTAGTTAAACCATCATCCGGCACCTTTATTTCAGTAATCTGATTATCATAGACAATAATTACTTTAACATTAGGGCAATCTTCAATACTTATCTTACTTATCTTTTTAGCAGAATTTAACAAAATTTTCTCTAAATTTGAATAACCTTTAATTTCCAAATCGCCTTCTAATTCTTCATACTTTACATTGTCAATAGTTTCATTCTTAATAAATTCGATTTTTGCTTCATTTTTTTGAGGATATTTTTTACCCAATCATTCTTGTGCGTTTACCATTATAGTTATTTATTTTTGCTTTTAATTTTTTATTTTATTTTACTCTATATAGCAACTAGTAATGTAATATTAGTTTCGACATTTAATTATTGCTTTACCCCAGTCCATAGCAACTATTTTCTCCGAACTGGGCTTTTAAAAATGTAAAACAAACTCTCTTAATGAAACTTATCCATTACTTACCAACAACTTCAACCCTTGCCTCTAATTGCGATGTTTTTATCGCTTCTTCTGCTAACTCTTCTATTCGATAAATGAATTTATTAGCATCACTCTCATATCTTTTGTATTTAATTAAATCATTATATAAATCATTGTCCTCACCAAGTTTTTTTGCAAATACTCGGTATCTTTCTGGAGAATCAATTCTTAAAGCACTGTCTGCCTCCTCTTTTATTTTGCCTTCTTTAAACACTCCTCTAATTAGGTCTCTTATTTTTTGTAATCTTTCATCAAGTATACCAAACTTTCTCTTAGTAGGAGAAGCCAAATTGTATTCCATCCTCAAAACAAATATCTTCTCTTTATCTTCATTCTCTTCTTCACCCATCCTAATCACTGTGCCTCCTTTGTCAGCTGGCAATACTACCTTATGAAGGGCAGCGAGTTTCTTAATAGTGGCTAAATTCTTACCTCTTTTATTTACCTTGTCATATTCTTTATCATCATCCTCTGCTTCTTTTATCTTCTTAACAATCAGAGCATTTAAAACCTGCCTTGCTTCGGTTTCAGTTAATTCAGTCGCTTGAACCAATTTACTCACCATTCTTATTTCCAGCCTTTTAGGAAAAGCAGGATCATTATTAATGTGAGTTTGTATCATCAATTTTAACAAGTCTTTGGCACTTGAAATATCTAATTTAGGTGCATCGGGCTCAGGCTTACCCATATATCTCGCTCACAAATTTGGATCAGGTTTCCAAGTCGGTTCCTTATCTCTAAAAGTAATGTATTCAGGTAATCCTTGTAATCCCACTAGCATTTCCTCAGGAGCAGGTGCTACTCCGTTCATCATTACCATCCTTAATGCTATACCTGCTCGCACAAAGTTAACTGCACTCTTTTTCTCGGCAGCAAAACCACCTCCCAAACCGGCTAAATTCTTACTTACTACCCCTAATATTGTAGCTTTAACCATATCGCTTATCAAATCAGGAACAATTCGCACCTCTTCAAAGTCTTTGCTTAGAGTCCCTCAAAATCCTTCTTGAATACGACCTCCTCGACCTCTTTGTTGACCTCCTTCAGCAACTGGATAAGGTTGAGTTTCGGGTGAAGCATACCTACAGAACGCTCCTAATGCTGATATTTCAATTAGACCACTAGAAAAAGTATTTTGAATATCAGGAGTGAATCCCCGACCATATCTAGTGTCTCCAATTCCTACTGAACCTTTTGGTAAACCAAATGAAATTCCTTCCATAAAGGATTCATAAGTGCTATCATAAACTACATGACAAACTCCATTACCAGTTTTACCTGATCCTTTCTTTAAGACATCTAATGCTTTGCTAATCTGTTTATTTTTAATACTTTTCAAAAAAAGCAATGATTTACCTTTACCTAATCTGTCCTCTAATTTTAAATCAGTCCCTGTTTTTAGACCACCTAAATAATAACTTTCTATCGGATAAGAAGAAGTTATTGAAAATGGTTTTCCTTTAAAAGTCGCACTCATCTTTAAAACCCGATATTTGGCTTTACCATCAGGATTAGTTAAAATAATGGTGTCTCTTATCATTTCCTGATATTCAGGTATAGCAAAGTCAGCCTCATCAAAAACAATTAGAGTTCCATCCGGTATGACATAATCTTTAATCTTAGCAACATTGGCTTCAAACTTATTTTTTTCTTCTTGTGGTATTTTGTTACCACCTTTGGAACTATCTAGCAAACTAGTGTCGCACAAAGTAGCCGCTAAGTAAGCATTAAAATATTTCGGCTCCATAATGGATAATCCATCTACCAACTTATTCATTTCTACCTTATAAGTTCCATGGGATTTGTAGCGCTCTTTTTTAACTCCATTTTCATCGGTATACTCCTCCTTTTCTTGATGAACCACGCAACCTCATTTTTGTAATCAGGATTTATGATGATTGTAAGCACTCTGAACCAAAGGAGTAGTAGGACAAATTAAAACAACATTTGCATTAAACAATTTCTTCATCATATAAACTAAACAGTTTATAGTTTTAGTAGTTTTTCCCACTCCGGTTCCAATCGCCAAATGCCCCTTTAATCCATCTTTTAATAATTCTTTCAACTCTTTAATGGTTGCGTCAGTATATTTCTTAGGATTCTGGGGATCGTTTATATCGTTTTCAGTGGTAGTATCAATAACGAGATTAATTTCTGTCTCTTTACCACTTTCCCCCACTTTCTTCACCCTCTTCCAATCGCAAAAATCAGGAGCATCTTTATTATAGTTGTTCATCTTGTAGAAAAGAGGTAATAAGTAAGTTCCACGGGTTTCCTTTGGTAATTCTCCCTCTTTAGCTGATATGCCCGCTTCCACTTCATCTATTTCGAAAGCTTTCAAACTCTTTAAAAATGACGTTGGTTCTCCTTTTTCATTTTTATAATTAGGGCTTACTTTATCTAAACTTTCTTCCTCTCCATCTTGCAATACTTTGCCTCCTAATCCCTCACAAGCCTTAAAGAACCCATCCAATATTTCCGGAGTTAATGGATCATACTCTTTAATCTCTCATATATTTTTTTCTTCGTTCTCAGCAATTTCCAATAAATCCTTTGCTATTCCTTCATCTCTTGAGTCAGTAGAAGTTAGAACAAACCATAACCCATTTCTCACTTCTTCTCTCTTATTAATAATATCGGTAGATTTTTTATTAGGTGGCAATAGTTCATCCTTCAAGGCTTTAATTTCCTCTTGCTTATAAGTAGGAATGAGGTCATGCAAGGAAGTTTGCTTACTGATATCATTTAACAGGTTATCGGCTTTTGTAATTTCATTATCAATATCAAGTTGCTTAATTTTTAGAACATCAATATTTTCTACCCCTTGATAACTGGTGATCTTACTCTTAATCTCTTCTGGCTTAGTTCAACCATTATTAAAAGCTTTTCTTTCATCAGTTCCTTTTCCACCTAAACCTGTTTCGGTAGTTCTTCATTTGTCAATTTCATCATTAGAAAGTTTACTTGGATTGCTTCCTTCAAAAACACTCTTAAATAGCGATTTAGTTTTATTGTCTCTTTCTCCTATAAGAACTCCATAATTTATACTACTTGGGACTTTGCTTTCGTCATAAGACTTAATCTCATTATCACTTGGCAATTTAGATAAATCAGTTTCACTTTTTATTTTGGCTAATAATTTATGGGCTTTATCTACTTCGCTTTTTTGGTGGACTTTTTGATCAATGTTGTTAGTTGTTTGTCCATCTGAACTATATTCAGTAACAAGAGTTCTCCAACCATTAACATAAACTACTTCAGCATCCTCAATGGATAATTTATTTTTTCAAGCATCTTTATCAGTAATATCATTTTTACTAGCAAAAAAACTATTTCATTTCTTCTGCTCTTCAGTTAGTCCTGAGGGTTTCGAATCTCCTCCTCCAGTATTTTGCCCCTGTTGAGAATTATTTGTCGACCCCGAAGACTCTGTTCCTCCTGAAACATTAATATTTCCAGCCTCTAATTTTTTTTTCAATTCAGCAACTTCTTTAGTCAATTTTTTAACCTCTTCTCCTTGATCATTAACTTTACTTAAAATTTGTTGTAGAATTTTATTATTTTCTTCAGAATTCACTTCTGAAAATTTTTGAATTTTTTCGATAATTTCTTCTAAATCTACTATTCCTTTTGGCATAATATTTGTATTTTTTTCTGTTTGTTTTATTATTTTTACCTTTATTTTTTAAGAGAATAAAAGGTTGAAAAACTCCTTTCTCTATAATTTTGTAATTTTGATTATTTTTTCTTTTCGACTAATTCTTTTATTTCTATCCTAATCAGTTTTAGTTCGCCTTCAATTGCGGTTAATCTATCAGCAAGTTTTCTTTGTCCTTCTACAATGTGAGCCATGGCGGTTAACAAATCTTTAAATTGAAAGGGGTCCAATCTTACTGTCTGGTCTCACAATTTTTCTTGTTTTTTCTCTAACATATAGGGATTTTATTTTCCTATTTTTCTTAATCATGAGTATAATAACCAAACTTATTATCAAAAAGACTACTCCGCCAATTATTAAACCTGCAGAAAATCTATTATTATTTGATTGTAAACCTGATTGCGAACCGGTATTATAGTAAAGTTTTAATTCCTCTAATTTCTGTCGATTTTTTTGTAATCTACTCTCTTTTTCTGAACTAGTTAAATTCTGATTGTTTCTCAATTGTTCGTTTTCAGATTTTAAGCGGTTGATTTCAGCGATAAGTTGGTCGCGGGTATAGTCGTGGTAATCTTTCTTCTCTTCCTCTCCCATTTCCCTAACTTTTTTTTCATCAATTAATTCTTTAAAAAATCATTCAATAAGGTCATTCGAATTTCTCTTTGAACTTGAATAAAAACTGTGTTTCGTAATTATTCCCTGCCTATCAACGATAATCGCTCACTCATCAATAAAAGTATAATTCTCGTTGGGTCAAAGAATTTTTTTCAATCTTTCCGAAATGATTGTATAGTAATTGCCTGTTTTATCAACAAAATAATCTCACCCCTCTTGGTATCCTTTTATTATCTTTTCCAAGACAAAGTCACCCCTGTTTTTTCCACTAATATCAGTGGTTATTCTCTTATTTACCATACTAACCAGAATAAGCCGTTTGGATAGTTATCGAACCCCCCTTATTATAAGTTATAACTTTTGCTTCACCATAATAACCTTGTGTATTACGATGTTCTATTTTTCAATGAAAATACTGTTTATCTCCAAAATCTACTTCATTTTTCATCCTTTGGAGAATAGGCAGAATTGGATTATCCTGTCTAAGACCTAATTGATTACCAATTGTGGAAACTTCCACACTAACTAGGGTATGATTTCCGCAAGTTTCGCAACAGTCCCTACAATCTCTTTTTCCGCAAGAGCCATAGCAACCTGCTTCATATTTAGAACGTTTATATGTTTCGCAAGTTGTGCATTTATATGTTGCCATAAGATTTTTATGTTTTTATTTATATTTCTTAGATGTTATCATTGCTAACTTTTACAGAATTATTAGCCAAATGATTTTTTTTAGTTTTTACAATTACTACTAAGACAATTAAGTCAGTGTATACCTAATAAGGCAGTAATTAGTTTAGAATATTATACTTATTAGGTATCTCTCTTTCGTTTTGACCATAGGCATTTTATTATATTATTAATTTATTTTAATAATTATCTCCTACAAAAAAATAATAATCTAATTTACATTATAATTTTATAGAAAAAATTCTTCTTAGTGTGATTTTTTAGCACTATCATAGGTTTTAGTAATAACAGCATAAATTTGCTAACTAGAAGAACTTTTTCCTTCTGAAAAACTAGGTGTCAATTAGGCACCTACCAATATTTAAAAATAATTAGTTTTTTAATTCTAACTAAATATTAGAGAAGTCGAATAACTTCTTACTGGCCAGGGGTAGCCCACTCCTCCTAGGAAAGAATGAAACTACCACAATTATAGATTAGATATTTTCTTACTTTAACAATTTGTGTTACCATCTTGTTTAGCATAAGCCTTTTTCTTCTCTATAAGTATAGGAGACCATATGATCTACCTATATATTAATTTTATGTCTTTCACTTTCTCAATCATGTTAACTCTTAACTCCTATTCTACACAAAAAGGCATGTGAACTACCCACCACTTATAGAAGTGGGGGCTTCTAACAACTCAGAAATTATTTCTCAATTCTACACAGCACCTATTGGCACTGCTCCTTGAAGGCTAGTTCCTAACCTTTCTGCTCGTTTCAATATATTACGAGCAGCATTAATATCCCTATTTTCTTGGTAATCACAATGTAAGCAACTGAACTTCCTCTGACTTAATTTCAATTTTGGTTCTCTTAATTCATCACAATTGCTACATGTTTGGCTGGTATTTCTTGCTTCAACTTCGACTACTCTCTTACCAGTTTCTTCCACTTTATAAGTGAGTATAGTCAAAAATAGATTTCAACCAGCATCATTAATGCTTTTGGCTAAATACCTATTTTTCACCATATTCTTTACTTGAAGTTTTTCATGGGCTACTAGGTCGTATTTTTCAACCAACTCACGGCTTAACTTATGGGCTAAATCTTTTCTCTGATTAGCCACTTTCTCATGCTTAACGGCTAATATTCGAACTACTTTCTTTCTTCTCTTGCTTCCTTTTTTTCTTCGACTTACTTTCCTTTGGGCTTTGGCTAATTGTTTTTCGGCTTTTCTGTAAGTTTTGGGTGCTTCTTTTAATTCTCCGTTAGAGGTAGCCAAAAAAGAAGTCAGATCCATATCTATTCCTACTTTCTTTTTAGTTTTCTTACTTTTCTTTACTTTTATATTTTCACAAGAAAAGCCAACATAGAACTTGCCATTTTTGAAAATTATCGAACAAGTTTTTATCTTGCCTTCTAATTTTCGGTGTTTCTCAATGTCAACCTTTCCCAAATGAGAAAGAATTAATTGGCTATGCCTTAAATTGAAACCGGATTGAGGATAGGTGAAACTGTCATATCTCCCATATTGTTTAAATCTAGGATAGCCTACTTTTCCTGCTTGGGCTTTTAATCTCCGAAAGAAGTTTTGAAAACTTTTGTTAACTCTTCTTGCTACATCTTGGAGAATTTGGGAATGAACTTCTTTAAGAAAAGAGTTAATTCCTTTTTTGGTGGGTAAGGAATTAATTTGCTCGAAACAAGTAATTTTCCCTTTCTCTTTTTCGTATTTATCTCTCCTTTCAGCCAAAAAATCGTTATAGAGTATCCGACAAGTTTCCAAAATTTTTTCTAACTTTCCCTTTTGCTCTTGACTGGGATAGAGCCGATATTTGAAAGTTTTAGACATAATTTTCTAATTTTGCTCCTTGGGATTGAATATATTGCTTAACTACTTCTACTGGTACTCCTCCTGTGGTTAGTAAGCAAAAACTTTTGCTTCAAAAATATTCTTTTCAGAGTTGTTTTTTAATGATTGGATATTCTTTCTTAATCAGCCTTGAACTGGCTGATTTATAAGCATTCAAAAACTTACTTAATTGAGAATTAGGATAGGCTCTGAATAAGGTGTGAATATGGTCAATATCATGGTTTCACTCTTGGCAAAAAATGTTATAATCTTTGGCAATATACTCAAAGATTTCTTTAAGTCTTTGGGATATGTTGTCATTAATCACTTTCCTCCGATACTTAATGACTAATACAGCATGATATCAGAACAAAAAGACCGAATGATTATTTGTGTCTAATTCTAGCATGCTAATAATATATTATATATTTTAAGACTGAATATAGTTTAATTAGCAATTCATCCCCCAGTTATAGAACAGGGGGTATTCTTTCTAGTTTAGGATAAAATAACTTATACATGCCTGAACTACCTGAAGTTGAAACTGTTCGTCAAATATTAAGGTCTGAAATACTTGGAAAAATTGTTCAAAAAATAGAAATTTACAAGCCAAAGGATGAGACAAAAATACGAAAGAGTATGATTAAAGAAATCAGTGAAGAAGAATTTATGAAAACATTAACCGGCAAAGTTATCTATGAGATAGAAAGAAAAGGAAAATGACTATTTTTTATTCTTACTAACCAAGAAAGAAGCAAAACCCATGTATTAATTAGTCATTTAGGAATGACTGGAAAGTATTTTGTAGAAGAGAAACTAATCACTCCGGAACAAAAAAAATTATTTAACAAGCACAACAGCGAGGAAGCGAGAGTTTTAACTTTTCACTTAGGAAGCAAGCAAAGTCCTACAAAATTAATTTACTGTGATGCCCGCCGGTTCGGGAGTTTTCGCTTACAAAGTTTTGAGGATTACAAAAAATTAAAGCCTTATAAAAATATTGGGACTGATTTGCTTGAAGAGACAGTAGATATTGACCTACTATTCAAAAGCTACCAAAAACGTAAAGTTCCCATTAAGCCTGCTTTATTAGATCAAGATATAATTAGTGGAATTGGCAATATTTACGCTTCAGAAATACTTTTTGATACTAAAATTCATCCCTTAAAAAAAACTAATCAACTTACTAAATTAGAAGTAAAAAATATAGTTTCTTCGGCTCAAACTATTTTAAAAAAGGCTCGAAATTTTGAAGGAACTTCGGAATTTGATTTTGTTAACCCTTGAGGCAAAGAGGGTTCTTATCAAAATGAGTTAAAAGTATACAATCGGAAAGGTAAACCTTGCTATAATAATTGTGGAAGTTTAATTGAAAAGTTGGTTGAAGATAAACTAAAAAAAACGAAAGAAAGAGGCACGTTCTTTTGCCCTAATTGCCAAAAAAGTCCTTAAAGAACAATAAGAAATGAATAACCAGTTTACTTTTTATTTTGAAACCACTGAGTTTTGAATTGCTGAAAACTCTTGACAAGAGAATGGAAAAAAATACCTTCTTTGTAACCTAGCAGGTCACAATATTAGCAGCAGTTTAGTCAAATACCAAACTCTATTAATTTGTCCCGACGATAAATCAATTTTAGCTTCTCATATTAAAAATGACCCGTATGCAGAAGTATGTTTTACTGTTCCGGTTTCTAACCTTAAATTTAGACTGAACTTTCACCAAAGACCAAAAAGAACTTATCCGTTTAGTGCCTTTCAAATTAAAGATACTAACCAAGTAGAAAAAGTGGAACTAGAAAAACCGAGCTTCCAGCAAATGGGTAAATATCCACCGGCTCAGTTTACTTTTAAAGTTATTAGTCAAAAGAAAGGCGAAGTAGACGAAAAGGGAGAATATAAACATGAACTAGAAATTGAACCTTTTTCGCTGGGAATAGAAGGCTTACCAGAAATTTCCCGAATTATTTTTGACTTTAGTTCTCCTCCGACCGGAGCAATAGAAGTTGTTGAAAGAATTAAAGATACCTGGTTATACAATACGCCAGAATTATTAACCGAAAGTGCTGGAAAAATCTTTACTATGAAAGTTAGGCGATGAAATCTTTTAGAAGACAATAAAGCCTTAAAATTTTATAGTTTGCATGATTTCGATTTGGATAGTTTTCAGGAAAAGCCGGCCGAGGATAATTCCAATAATTCTCCTGTTTATAATGCTCTTAAAACCAAAATGCTCCGTAATTTAGATAAAATTTGCTTGGACCCATTAGGAAATTTCGCCAACTCCCAAGCAGTTGAAAAATATTGAACTTGGGGAGAATACTACGATACTGGGGAAGCCAAGAAGCATGGACAATATAACATTACTGACCAAAATGGCGAGGAGGTATATTTACAAGAATATTTAAACTTTGAGCGAACAGAGGAAAGAAAATTTTATAAAGAAATCCGAGCGGCCATAATTAACAATATCAAGCAAAACCCGGCTGAATGAGAAATTTACAGTGATAGTTCCAATTCGCAGCGGGGAAATTTTATTAAAAATAAAAAAACTGGAGTAAAACATTACAAACAAGGCATTACAATCTGACCTGAAGATAAAAATGGAGAATGAGAAGACGAAGCTGGAACCAAAGAATGAAACGAAATTCAAAAGGTTTTAAAAAATTCTCCTACTCCCCAACAAAAAAATTCTTCCGAGCCGAAAAAAACTAAATGGTATAATCCTAAGGACTATCTAGGAACCTGAATAACAGCAGCATTTTTAATTTTGCTTTTAATAGCAATAGTTACCTTCATTCTTGTGAAAAAAGAAAAAAACCAGCAATAGTTTTGATTTAGTATCAAAGGGGATTAACTTATAGAAATTTTAAATAACTTTAAAGTATTAGAATAAATCTTTTCTCCTGCTTCCTCTATACTTATTTTTTTCATTTCTGCTATTTTTTTTAAAGTGTAAACTATGTTCTGGGGATAGTTATGGGTTTGTTTTCCGCGTAATGGTTCAGGAATTAAATAAGGAGCATCAGTTTCAATAACAATTTTTTCCAAAGGTACTTTTTCTAATACTTCCCCTCATTTATCTTTCCATTTAGCGTTTTTATAAGTAATATTGCCGGCAAAAGAAATATAAAAACCTAAATTAATAAACTTTTGGGCTATTTCTCAAGTTCCTGTAAAGCAGTGAAGAATACCTTTTTTTATTCCTGTTTCCTTTACTATTTTGTAAGCGTCGTTAAAGGCTTTCATAAACTTATCCTCTTTCTCTTCACCCCTAATATGTAATAAGACTGGCAAGTCGCATTTTCAGATAGTTCCAATTTTTTTGGCTAGTTCTAACTGTTTTTTAAACCAATATTTTT